GAGGATGCAGTGATGAGATTTCCTTTCTTGCTGCTTCTGTAGAAAGTAGCAATAATGTTTTATACAATTATTAGTCTATTATTGATCGACATTTACTTGATTCCAGCTTGCCAATGTGAAGATTTGATGCTTTTGTCTTATATATAGTAAAGATAGTAAACTTTTTTTATTTGGGATTTTGGCTGTTGGTCAGATAATGTGTTAATATGTTTAAGCTTGATTCATTTTCAGCTTAATTTAATGTCATATACAGTTAAGTAAGACCGCCACCCTCTGTTTTGTTTCCATTAATCTCATTTGCTCACAGCTAAAACATCAAAGTTGAAATGTTTGTGTGTGTGATTGTGTATTTGGTGAAGTGTGATGGTGGCTGGGATCTCATTACATTAGCCGTTTGAATGATGGGGGTAAGGTAACTGGAGCATTGTTTTGACAACTCTCATCTCTCACCTCAGACTGGAGCTTGTGTCACTATTGTGGCGGCCATCAGGTCTTGATTATTGGAAATGAAATGGCCTTGAAGGCACGCAGCATGGGTTGACCACCGGGGGTTTCTTTTAGTTTCTATTTCCTGGTTGTGAGTGTGTTTGTTTGTGTGTGTGTGTGTGTGTGTGTGTGTGTGCCACCAGTATTGGTGTGTGTCCAGGCTTTCAGGAAGGTCAGTGTCCTACTGTTTTCCCATCATTAATCAACCCACCTGATCAAGGGGAGTTGTTATCAGTTCACTAACATAAAGGCAGTAGCAGCTAGCAGAAAGAGAAGTGGAGGTGGGGTAGGAGTGGAGGTGGTGGTGGTGGGGGGCTCTCTATGCGCTGCTGCTCTTTCTTTGTCGCCAGGTTATTTTAATACAATCCCTTCCCATTTAAAGATTTTCTCCTTTCCAGGCCAAGGTTAATGCCACAAACCACTGTGATAAGATAAGGGGACACAAGACTTGATATCGTTAACCTGACCGGCCCCCTGCACAAGTCGCAGTTCCCACAGCGAGTAGCTTTGTAAAGGGAGCTCAGGGTCTGCCCTCTGTCCTGACTGACGGGTTTACACAGGAGGCACAAGGGAAACCTTGTAAACATAATTAGTTAGGCAGACACGACTAGAGCGGCTTAGTGTATGTGAGGGTGTATTTGCTTTAGCTGAAGTAAACTGTTGCAGCATTATTACCTGCAGGGATATAACCAACTCCGATTCAAATTACTAGACTGTTTAAGAGCTGCAACTAACTAATGTTCACTTATCTATTAATGTTATTTTCCTCATTAATCATTTGCAATGTCAAATACATTGTGAAGAATGATCACAATGAGGCGCCTTCAAGTTGCTTGTTGTGTCTGACCAACTGTCCAAAAGATATTCAGTTTGCAAATAAACAGACAAAAGATGGAACCGCCATTAAACAACCAAAATAATACACACACTATCAAAACAGATGCAGACAAATTTCCTGTCGATCAGCTGAATAGTTTTCACCTCTACAATGTTTTCGTGTGCTCCTAGAGGAGGCGGTGCGCCTGTGCTTATCTACTGGGCATAAGCAGCCTATTAAATGTGCTGAAACAAGCAAGTAAACAAAGGGAATTTCCCGTTTGGCCATTATCGGGGCATTTTCTTTCCTTGTTTTGGCCAACTGGCATGGCATTGTTCAAAGGTCTCCAGGCAAAACAGTGATTTGAGATAGCACAAAGAATAGTGGACCAACTTCAAATAAGAGTAAAGAATGAAGCGTTCCCATTTGTTTACAGCCTATAATTGTCTTGGTTTTATTTGGGTTTGCTTGGAATGAAAGCTAATCTGGCACTAAATGGGGGGGGGAGATGGATGATACCAGAATATACAAGTGGAAGAATAAAAATAAGGTGTGTATTCAAAATAAGTAAGTGGGTTAGTTTATTTCGACTTGTGAGCAGCCTGTTGAGTCTGACCTAAAGAGCATTTGGCAGCTTGAAGCACCAGGATGTGTGTTTGGATCAGGGAGCTCCCAACAAGCTGTCACCCTGACTCCACCTCCAAATATTCAGATCAGCCTTCCCTTCCCCTGTTTTTTTTTGGCCCCGGCCCTCCCTCCTCTTTCCTGCCCGACACAATGAGGCAAGATCCTCCTGGTTGCTATGACTTCAAGCCAGTGTCTGTATGAAATGCAACCACTGACTGTTTGGACAGCAGGACAGAACAGAGATACGTCCCCGGTTCAAAGAGAAGCTGCTGTCGGGCACGGCAGGACGCGGCGGCCAGACACCACGCTCACTGAGCAACCCGGACCCTGTCAGCTGGAACGGGGACGCTTCGTGGGCTGAATGAAAGTTCAACGCAAGCCTCTTGATGGGGGAATAACGTGGCAGTGTTACAGTTGTCACTCAGCTTCTCGGGACTGATTCGGCATCTTAAGTCGGGACAGCAAGGACGGCGTGGATGTGTTTGTTTCACGGAGGAAGGGAAAAGAGAGAGAGAAGAGGCTAGAAGTTGAGAGAGCGCAGCAGCTGGCTCCAGAATGGGCTGCGATCCATGAATCCAATTGAAGGATTAGGATGGTTTTTGTTACTTTTGACATGCCTCTGGCTTCAATGGTGAGCACTGTTAATATGGTGGGAAACTGCTGGTAGCTTCTATCCCTGTGTCCTTTTAATTACAACCTCCTGGCCTTGTCTTTGAGAAACTAGTTTCTTCTTCATGTTCAAGATGTTTGCGGTCTGTAACTGTAACTGCAGTATATTTGTTTCTAAGTGTGTCAGATTTCTTTTCATATGTTATGCTGAAGCTTCTTTTTAGAAAAGCTCCAATATTTGTTATTTTCTCTGTCTTTATTACTCCTATAACACACGCGAACACAGACTGAACTAACCGGGTTTGAGTTTTCCCAGCGGTGTGCTTTCAGTAGCACTGGGTGCAGACTTTCCCTGTTTGTCCACGGAGACTGAACACTTCCTGACACCTGTGTCCTTGACCAGTTGGCCCTGATTTTCCCCCTAACTGGGTCCTGGCTTGTTTCCCTTTCACTAAAAACGACTCTAAATTTGAGCCATTTTCCCTTTCACTCCAGCTTTTTGTTTTAAAGCCAACATGTCTATTTGCAGTTAGGTCACTCTCCTCTGTGGTAATCATTAAAAAAAAAGATAAAAGGACTGAAATCTGTTTGAAAACCTGCAGGACCCCCCACTCAGATTTACTATCTTGTTACGCAACTCTGTATAGGCCACTCATGAGCCTTTACTCTAGTTAAGTGGCTTCACAAAGACCTGTGGGTGCTCTTCCTAAAATGGGAACGTGCAATGCAGAACAGTTTGACTAGAACTATTCATAATATTTACATTTCATTCTGTTACATATACATGCCACAAACCTATATACTGTGATAAGTCTTTATCTGTAGTGTAATGGATGCTGTTTATGTCTAGTAGCTGGGATGCACAACTTCATCCAGCCTGCTCGTTCGTGCAGTTTGTCTCCATTTATTCGAAGCTTGACCGCTCCTGTTTTTGTCGCCCAGTTTTACAGTTTTAGTTTGAGGTCCTCAATAAAAGTTCTCTTCTTCCTGTCCAGCCTCTATAAATCAGATGATGGAAGAGAGGGGTTGGTAAAAGTCTGAGAGGAGGACTGCAGGCCTGGAAAAGTTACAGCAAACTACAAAAACTTGTAATTAACTCTAAAAGATGCTACAATTGGCCGTTAATCAAAGATAAAGAAAGTAGAGTCCTTAGTACAGTGTTGACCATAAAGTATGAGGTCTCTATCAACATAAACTAAATCTGACTTTAAAGGGGACATCACACGTTTGAAGGTCTTGGGCAGAATGTGCTGCATATGTTAAAAAAAAGTTGTATAAAACCTTTTGTGACTCCACAGGGAGCTGAATGAAGTCTGATCATTCTTTGCTTAGAGCTTGGAGTTTGAAAATGAAAAAAAAATCTGGGGGTGTGGAGTTAAAAAAGAGGTGAACTTTAGCAGACCTCTGTAGCCCGATCATTGCTGAAGCACAGCAGCTCGAGGCCGCATAACACACCCGAATCTCCGACCCAACTTTTGGAGGTTGATCTCTCTGATTTCTCGATTTTTGACCCTTCTTGTTTGTGTCGACCAGAAGCTCAGCAGTGTAGGAGTCCATCGGCGGATGATTACCACTCATTTTAAAAGCACTGTAACCACTTTTTTGACGTGTTATTTACCGTATTGAGATAAATGTTTGCTTTTGGGGGGGTTTGAGGACCACTTCTCATAGGTTGGGTATAGGTGTTTTGATAGCATTGTGTGTGTGTGTGTGTGTGTGTGTGTGTGTGTGTGTGTGTGTGTGTGTGTGTGTGGGGGGGGGGGGGGGGTGTGTGTGTGTGTGGGGGAGGGGGGGTGATCAGTAAAAGAATTTCGTTGGAATGGCCGCTCAGTTTCAGTAGTAGTGTCAGTGTCCTGGAATGTCAGTTCCTTGTCACTGTGTTTTGAAGTGGGGGGGGGATCGGCGGCCTCCCCACCAGCAGATTCCACACTTTAACGGCAAAAACAACTGCTTCCTCAGATACTGAGGTGGCCCCTATTTGTTTGCTTTGCTGGTTTGCTCGTAAAGTGGACAGAGATTGCATGAGTGAGGGTGCGCGGCAGGGCCTGCTGACAGGGTGACAATGGAGGGGGGAACAATGGGCAGACTCGGACCGTCTGTTCTTATGGAACAACCTCCCGCCTGCCTCCTTGTGATGTAATGAGCATTCACTGCGAAGGAAGTGGCAGTCCTTCCCTCTCCTGTTTGTGTCTGATCATTAGGGTGGCTGTAACGGTCCTGCTGATGTCATCCCTCGCACAGAATTCCCCTCTGATTTCCTGTTTGTCCTGTCCTTGTATATTTCTCTCTTTCCTTCATTGTCTCTTTCCATCCGTCTGACTGGAAACTTTTGTCCTTCCTCCTGCGGTGACAGAATCACTCATGCCAGTCTGTCTCCTATCACTTTCTGTTTTGCGTTGTTTCATTGTTGCGTTTTCACTGTGTAAAATCTTTCTCTCCGTCTCTCCTCTCTGCCTCGCAGGGTCAGGCGCGAAGGAGGAAGAACATGACAGAGTTCCTAGGGGAGACGAATATTCCTACGCCGGATGCTCTGGGACAGATCGGAGGATCCCTGCCCAGCGCTGGAGCCGGGCCCGACAGCTGGAAGAACCGCGCCGCCAGCCGCTTCAGTGGCTTCTTCAGCTCCAACGCTGGAGCAGGACCCTTCGGCAAGGTAACGCTGATCAGGCGACGGTGATGGCGTGAGAGTGGTTCTCTTGGGTATGAAACAGGGATTGTAAAAGCTGTGGAGAACTAGTTTGTAGCCCAGACATATCATGGATTTAAAAACAAACATAAAGAAGCAAACAAAACAGTAGCAGGCAGCAGTGGGAGGGGAGTCGGAAGGCCATATCCCCCGAGTCCTGGTGAGGTAATTTCCCTTCAACGTCTCCTGACTTGTTGGCTCACATACTTTCCTCCCAGCAGCTCTGGAAATGAGTATGTGGAGGAAAAGCCTCACTCATGTCTATCCAACGTAGATTATAAAAACTCACAGAAAGAGTTAGATGAGAAAAGGAAACAACTAGCCTGGCTCCGTCCAAACGCCACAAATAGTTATTTTTCAACAACTTTTATTCTAATAAATCACACACCCACACACACGTGCTCCCATTGTATCTCCAGAGGTCACATCCTGCACAGTAGCAGATGTCAGATAGAGACAGTATCTGTCAGTCACCCGTCACTGCCTCGCTCATCTCTATTCACCCCGAGTGTCCCCCTTAACCCCTTCAGGGCCAGAGATCCTTCACCAGGACCTGGACCTCTTGCACCCTCCACATTGTAGTGATGAACCACTGTCAGTCCCTCCTTTCACAAAACCTTAAAAAGGAGTGGACGGAGCGCTGATCCCTGATCACTTTACTCCTAAATCCGTTGTACAATTTGTCACTATTAATGAATGTAGAAACGCACTTTGTGAAAGGTTTCGTGAACCACAAACTAATGGACCATCTTCCCCCGTCATGGTGTAGCTTTTGCCCCCCCACTCCCTAGTCTGCCATTGTTAAAAGGGTCTCAATGCACAGAGCTCATTTTCATAACTACATAAGGCCTGCCAGACTGAACAAAGGCCTGAATAGCAGCTACTGTTGGATTTAAGAATTAAGGCGCCGGTAAGGACAGGATTTTTATGCTAATAGGTGGACTCATCTTTACTTACAGATTGAATGTAACAATAAATTGACACACAAAGGACAGAAATGAACAGTTATTTTTGCATCTCTCCAAGCTGTCACGCCGTTAACCTTGTTCCAACTAATTAGGCTTTATTAGGTTTTCTTTTTTGAAATCGCTCTCGTCTCGTCGCAGGAGTTGGACCGTCTGGAGCAGCTGCAGAGCAAACTACACTCCTACACGTTGTTCGGGCTGCCCAAAGTGCCGCGGCAGCTCTCCTTCCACCAGGACTCCTGGGAGGAGGAGGAGGAGGAGACCAACCTGGCCCTGGAGGACAGTTGGCAGATGCTGCTGGACAACTCAGAGGTGTGTGTGGGGGATTGGGGTTTGTGTGTTAATGTCTAAGGATTTTGTTTTTATAAATAGTTAGGTTTATTACTTAGGACTACTTAATACATGCTCCTCGGCCCAGTTACAGAGCAGCTGTCCCACACTAAACCCCATATAGCTGCTTACATGTAAAGTTTTACCTCATCGGAGCAGGAAACAAACGGGTCACTCCACCCCGCAGTTTTGTGTTTTGGTCATTTTGAGACAAGACTCGCTTTGTAAATGTTTACAGCCTGCCATGCTGTTATCATGCATGGCTCTGTGTACAGTGACGCACAACGGCGGCGTTTACACAGACTTAAGCTGTAATATTAAACTGTACGGACATTATTGGTGTGGGGATTAGGGGTTTAAAGTTTAACATTTAAATATATATATATATATATACATTTTATACAGGCTTTATATAGTACAATAGTGCTATTTAATCACTAAAAGAGGCAAAGCACAAAGAATAGTATAAAAAGATGTTAAATGGTGAACTTAATTGTTAATGGAGAATAATTTTCATTATTTCTGCGTTTGTTTCTTTCTGATAATTAATCATCAAGGGAACATTTTAACAAAATATAAATCTGTGGTGAGACAAAAACATAGGGTCCTCCCTGCTCTCCCAGTCAGTCAAAAAAGACATACACCCTCCCTAATAATAGTTATAATAATAAGTTTAATACAGTACCTTATCAAAGTTCACATTCGCATGTGATTACCTACAGTACATACAATATACTGGCATCCTCCTTTCTGGTATGTGCTTCCTCATCTTTTATCTTCATCACACTTGACCTGATGCCTGTTTTCCCAGAATGATAATTACAAAGCGCTTTACTGTTACACAGCTGTCAGGAACCGTATACACCTATGTAAATGAAACACCCATCGCCCGCCGTCGCCGGCCTCCACCTGTTAATGTGTATGTGACTAATCATTCCAGCGAGACGGAGCAATATCACGGCTCAGCTGCTGTACAGTCGCACTGTACATTCACCCCGACGGTTAGTTACATAAGATATATGACTGACTTGATTGCTGGTCATTTCCACATGTTGTCCAGTAAAGAAGTTAGGTAAAGTGAGTTACTGGAAGGAAGTTATTTTCATGTTTGAGAGCATGCATGAGTGATTTTAACTACATGAAAAAGAACAAGTTGTACACCAGTTTCCCAACCTTTCCCAAGCCTTGCACATCAGGCTGCCAGTTTGATAAGATGTAGTGTCAGGGATCACGGTCTGATAAGAGTTAGTTACTCCATAACTGTCTGTACTGTAGATTTGCAGATTAACAGTGAAGAATGTGAAACTCATGAACAGAACTTCTAGTCAATGAAATAATAGTAAAATTTAAATATTACCCATTTTTCAGTTAAGGAGTATCGGACACGGCTGAACGCTGCTGTTTCTGCAATCACAGCTATTATAACCATATTTAAATGCAATGGAGGCACCATTTTGTGATTACAGCTGCTGTCAGAATTAAGTGTGATAAAACTGTTCGCATTAACAATATACCTGAAATAGGTAATTGGGTCACAGGAGCTGACGTAACACTAACTAACATGATTTAATTCCAAACTTGTGAAATCTATAAGAACTCCCCAGCGTTTAAATTCCATGTAAAGTCACTTTTTTTCTCCTTTTGTTTGCTTTATTTTTTATTTTTGCTGTGTATGTTTACAAAACATTTTTTCTTACTATTAATCTTTGACAAAGAATTTGTTGCTAAAAATCCAAAATGTCAGTGATAAACACTTCTGCATGTGAGACCAAATCATTAATTTAAAAAAGAGTTTCAGTGAAATCCATTCAAAGTTTGACTTCTACAGGAATGAAAATACAATCAAAGTCATGACTGCTGTAAAATAAAAGAATCTGGGAATATCTCTGTTATATTTAATAACATGATGTGTGCCTTTGTGTGTGCAGACACTGACGAGGCGACAGTTCCACCAGCAGGAGGCGATATGGGAGCTGCTGCAGACGGAGGCCACCTACATAAAGAAACTCAGAGTCATCACTGATGTAAGAGCAAAGAGAGCTATTGAAGTCTGCTGACGCATAGAGATAATGTACTGATAGATGTCTGGCTGTTGTGTAAGATGAACTGGCTTCTGTACTGAGACAGAAACACAGTGAACCTCTTGAGGAGGTCTCAGAATAGAGATGACCTTTATCACCACTTGGTGAGCTGTCTGCTGAGAAAAAAGAATAGTGTTTTAAGGCTGATAACCTTTGGCTTTTAAAGGCTTTATATCAGCTTAGTGTCTGAACAAATTTAGAGGCCCATATTTTTTTTTATCACCCTCCACAGCTGTTCCTGTCTGGGCTGCTGAACCTGCAGGAGAGCGGTCTGCTGACAGAGGCAGAGCCCCCAAAGCTGTTCAGTAACATCCAGGAGATCGTCCGCCTCCACACGTCCCTGTGGAACCAGGTCATGCTGCCTGTCCTGGAGAAAGCCAGACAGGCCCGGGCTCTGCTCGACCCCACTGACCTTCACCACGGCTTCAGGACGGTGGGTTGTAATCAATACTGTCAATATACTCATCTCAAGAGGTACCGCAAAAAAAGGGCTTATCAAGAAACCACGACCCTGATTAGTTTGTGGCTTTGTCAAACCTACTACAAGGAGATTTTAACTGGTTATGAAACAGTCTGAATTTAATACTAACGCCTCTATATGACCTACATAAGCACACAAGACCATCAGTGACAATACTGGCTATTTCTATATAGTAATTCTTAATGTCTGCCACCAGGTCAGAGTCCCATTGAAATCAATTAAACTAGGCTGTGGAAACACTACTTCTTTTGTCCACAGGGGTCGCCAGAATCAACAAGTATCCAGGCTAATAAGTCATTTAACAGATGAATTACTGTACTGAACATTATGGATAAAATGCTCAGTAATATGTAGCCCAAGTCAAAAATACATCATAAATGATACAGTTAGTGAAATAATTGAAACGTGGAAGTGGAAAAAGAACTGTGCATTTACATATTCAGCACCCAGAATACCTTGTATGTATGTTAATGCACAGTTTGGATATCCATTCTTGTCATTTTAGATGACTGCTATACAATTCCCTTCTGTATCTTATACAGTGTTGGCTTTAGACTGAGGCGGCAGTAAATATGTTTCCCTCAAGTTGAAGTCTTTGTTTTTGTGTGTGTGTGTTCAGTTTGGCTCCAGGTTCAAGCCCTACATCCGTTACTGCATGGAGGAGGAGGGCTGTATGGAGTACATGCGCACGCTTCTCAGGGACAATGAGCTCTTCAGGACCTACGTCACGGTCAGTTCTCCCTGCTCTCCCGCCTTAAAACTAATCTACACCTACAGTACACCGTGTACCAATACACTCCTCGTTATTTTGTTCCATATTTCTGGCTCATTAAATGTTTCATTTCCTCTCTTTGTCTGGCTCAATTCAGTGGGGAGAGACGCATAAGCAGTGTAACCGTCTGAAACTTGCCGATATGGTAGCGAAGCCCCACCAGAGGCTGACCAAATATCCACTCCTGCTGAAGAGTATTCTCAAGAAGACGGATGAGCCGTCGGCCCGCGAGATTGTCAATAGCATGGTAAGGATGTAGAAAAATATACGCTACTTCTTTCTAATTGACCCTGATAGAAGAAATGTCTGAGGGTATTTCTGTGCTTTTCCTCCTCAAGGTGGCCACAGTAGAGGGCTTTATCAACAGCGTGGACTCCCAGATGCGACAGCGGCAGGAACAACAGAAGCTGGCCACCATTTCTGCCCGTATAGACTCCTACGAGGCTGTAGAGGGCAGCAGTGAGGAAGTGGAGAAGGTAAGAAGCGATTTATGAGGCGCAGGGGTTTACCTGCTTCTTCAAAAATCTCTGTCGGATGCAAGACTTCATGTTAGATTCGGCTTCATGTGTTTCTCTTTTCCCCCTCTTTCAGATCCTCAAGGAGTACAACTGCTTCGACTTGATGGCTCCCATGAGAGGAATATCTCCGGAGGAGACTCGACAGCTGCATCTTGAGGGAGCGCTGAGGATGAAAGAGGGCAAAGACAGTAGGGTAAGTCTGACCCACATGACTCCTTGTAAACACATGACGAGCTCTTATCTTTATGCTCAACATCTGGTTTCTCACGTTAGCTTCACAGTCTTGTCACATTTCACATAAAATGGTTGATGTATTAAATAAATGTCAGACCTGAGATGAGTTTATTTTCCTCCGTAGATGGATGTCTATTGTGTCCTGTTCACTGACCTGCTGCTAATTACCAAGCCAGTGAAAAGAGTGGAGAAAGTCAAAATCATCCGCCAACCTCTCCTCATTCACAATGTCGTCTGTAAGGAGCTCAAAGACCCCGGTGAGTTCTCAGATGAAGTAACAAATAATCATTTTCAGAACTGAGACATGTTGTTTTTGATAAATATATAAAAAAAAGACAAATCTGATGTTTTCAAATGACTAATTTTGTCTGAAAAACGCAGTGTATTCAGTTTATACTAATATGGAATAAAGAAAAGCACATTTTAGAAGCTGTAAGCAGCAAACATTCAACGTTTAACTTGAATTGATTGCCTTTTAGATTTATGGACTAATTGTTTCAGAGTGAATGTAAATCTATAAAAATTAGCTGCAGTAACTAACTGAAGCTTCAATAATGTAGAACTCAGAGACCCCTAATGATTATTATTATAAACTGCTCACTCAGACATGAAACTGGATAATTAGCTGTGATTTTCTTCCCTGTTAAAGCTCAATTTTTTTACTTTTTTTTGTGTCTCTGTAGGCTCATTCATCCTCATCTACCTCAATGAGTTTAAGAGTGCAGTGGCAGCCTACACTTTCCAAGCCAACAGCGCCTCCCAGGGGCGAAGCTGGATCGATGCAATCTGCAATGTCCAGGTTGGAGAGGCACTTCCTATCTTATTAAATGTTCAATGCGTGGAGCCGGGGGATAAGAGCCAGACACAGCATTTTGTGGTTTGCATACTTAATGTGGTTGTGTAATTATACTGCAGAACCAGCTCCAGAGGCTCCGCACTGAGGAGGTCCTCCGGCAGCAGAGCAGTCTGAAGAGATGTGGCGAGTTAGAAGAGGAGGAGGAAGATGAGAGCAGCAACTCCACTACAAGCTCCCCATGCCTGAGGCACAAAGACCAGCAAAACTCAAGGTACTACAGCGTGCAGCTGGAAAGGAATAAAGAAAAATGAACGCCTGCTATTGTAAATTTAATTTCATCATTCAAAAATAGCAAATTAGACCCACTTACTTGTTTTCTTGACATAGTTTAAGATATGATTGGAATCATGTTCTGGTCTAAAGAAGCTAAAAAGATTGAAATCCACATTGGCTTAGAGGAATAGTTCAACATTTTGGGAAACAACAGCACAACCACAACACGTCTTGACATAGATATTTTTGTAAGGAATAAAGATCTAACGTGTTAATTACCGACCTTAAGAACGGCTGGTTGGAGGATTTTGCTACCTGTGGACAGGTAATTATCTATTCCCCGTTTCCAGTCTTCATGGTAACAGATATGGATATTCTTATCTAAGTAAGAAATGAATTAAGTGTATTTCCCAAAATGTTAAACAATTCCTTTGATGTCTGCAATTGTAAATGTAATTTCATGACTTATATTAGAAAAGATCAAATCACACACGCCTGGGGCTCCTTTACTAGAGCTTGTGTTCTGGGCAAAAGATAAGATCAAAAGAAATCCACACTGTCTTAGAATTTAGTACGTATTTTACTACTTACACACTTTCTTTCTTGTTGTTGTTGTAAGCTGCCTAACCAACCAATTAACCAACCAAACTTCTCCTTTCAGTCAATCCGATGGTTCCACTGAGACCCTGTCAGTGATGGACATTGATGAACCAGGTGAACACCAGGATCCTCCTTCCCCGAACATGAACCTCGAGGGAACCGCTGAAAAAGACGGCGACGTGGCTCCCCTGTGTGAAAGGTCTGAGGTCCTGCAGTCTCAGTGCACGAGCCCCCGCAGAGTCCTCTCCACCGTTTACTCTGAGCACGATCAGGAGACGGGGCCTGACGGAGAGGAGCTGGACCCCCAGTGTCGCTCTCTCTCCATGGACAGCGCCTACGGTACCCTCTCCCCCGAATCCCTCCTGAGAGAGCTTCAGCCGCAGCCTGGCCAGAGCGAGGGAGAGGAGACTGAGGAGGAAGAGGGAGACAGGGAGGGTGAGGAGGAGGCGGAGCGGGAAGAGGCAGGAATTGAGGAGGAAGAAGAGGAAGAGGAGGAGGATGCTGCCTCACTTGGGTCCCAGCTGTCAGTAGTCCAGTCCTCTAAACCTCGCCGGCGGCCTCACATTCAGCCACGATTCCACTGCCTCCAGAGGCTGTCCACTCTGGCCTTATCCCGCTCTGAGGACAATCTGCTGCAGCGCTTCCACGGTAAAACCCCTGTATCTCACAAACACTCACTTCGCTCTGAGGTTCAGGACCAGTCACAGTGCAGGGACATGGAAACGTCACCGCTGGCACACAGTCGAAGCCTGTCAGAGCTGGGCCTGGAGCTGTTGTCCAGTGACCTCGACCAGTCTGACGACTGCTTGAGCATGAGCATGCCCTCCGACAAACTCTGTGCCACCCTGAGGAGGGCGGAGGCCAGGCACGGCTACAGGGCGCCTGCCGGAGCTCACGAGGGTATCGAGTCCCAAAGCAACAGCTCGGACGGGGAAACGGCTCCATCTGCCTTCGTAGATAAGAAAAACGAGTCAACAACCGCTGGTGATTCAGGGAAAGTGTCATCCAAAAAGAGGAAATCACCAGTGCAGCAGCACAAGAAGCTGACTCTAGCTCAGCTGTATAGGATACGCACCACTCTTGTCCTCAACTCCACACTCACTGCATCGTAAGTCGTCACTTCTGTCATACCCGCTAATGGCTTCACGACATTTAAAGGTCCAGTGTGTAACGTTTAGAGGGATCTATTGGCAGAAATGGGATTATCACCTGAATGTAAGAATCACTGTGTTTTTCTTACCTTAGAATGAGCAGTTTATATCTACAGATGCTTCGGGTCTTCCTTGGAGTCTGCCATGTTTCTACAGTAGCCCAGAAGGAAGAAAACCAAACACTGGCTCTAGATAGGGGCATTCACGTTTTTTGCGTATATCACGGCCGCCATTGTTTCTCCTTTGTATTTGGGATGGGAGGGTGTAGTGAGTGTGTTGCGATCTGCAGCTACACCACTCGACGCCACTAAATCCTACACACTGGACCTTTTTAAAGGAGTAGTTTGATAGGTTGAGAGCAGACTTGTTAAGTTAGATGAGAATATTGAATATTCATTTATGTCTGTATAGTAAATATGAAGCAACCGCCAGCTTGTTAGCTTAGCATTAATACTGAAACTAGCAGAAATCTGCCTACCAGCACCTTTAAAGCCCAATAATTAACCAAGAATTATTCCAGCATGTTGGCTGCAGCCTCGTACAGACATGGGAGTTTTCTCAAAATGTTGAATTCTTTAATTTGAAGAAAATTACATTCAATTTGGCATTTTGACTTCAGGGAATGTGTGTATTAATGTTGTGATTTTTTTGTTTTTTCCAGGGAGGTATAACCACTCTTCCAAACAGCTGACCAGTGGCACGTGGGCATAATAAGGAACAACACTTGTTGTGCTTCGATGGACTGAATTTCTTGAGACACAAATGCACTCTCTCTTGCTGCCCTCTCCCTTCCTGTTGCTTTTTGGACTCTGATAGTACCATTTTTGCATTTGAACAATAACAAACTTTTTTTTTTTTTTTTGCTGTTGCATTGGTTTCCGAATTACTCGAGTGGAAGGGAGAGGCAGAGAGACATTAACTGCTTGCACTTTGCAACGAAAGTAGCGTTATGGGGGCTTGGACCTTAAGGTGGACTGGCGGAGGGGTGTGTGTATGAGTGCAAAGTGTGGAAGTGCTGCACCTGCAGAGGGAGGAGACATCCAGGTGGAGGTCTTAAAACCTCATCCCTGCGCTTTGCACCGGAGAAAAGGTGGAGCTGAATCCTGCATCTTCTCCGTCTCTGTTGAGTTGAAAAAGAAAAAGACTTTTGAAAATCTCTACACCTGGCAAAAAAAAAAAAAAAACAGCACCAAGGACGTCCTCCTAATATTTGTACTACTCCTGGTTTGCTTCAACAAAAGAAAAAAAAGAGAATTGCACAGTTATCTATGTTAAGTAGAAGAATCACTAAGGAGTGAATTTACATTTACAGTCACACAATGAATTAGAATTTATTGTTTGCTGTTTGTGTCTGCTCGTGTGTGTGTGTGTGTGTGTGGTGTGTGTGTGTGTGTGTGTGTGTGTGTGTGTGTGTGTGTGTGAGTGAGTGAACGAGTGTGTGTTGAAATGATACATGGTCCTCGATTCCTGACTGAACCAAAACTGATTCCCATCTCCTGTGAAGACCCGAGTAGCCGGTAGGCTCCCAACAAGAAAAAAAGTGCGCCCAAAGGTCCAAAACCAGCCAGTCATGATTTCATAAAAACAGCTGCATCACCACACAGATGGACTTCCTTCTTTACTGTTATCTTGGTTGAACTAATGCAATTTGGTATGTGGAACTAATGAGAAGATGAGTTGATTTCCTAAAAAAACAATGACTGAATTTAATAGGCAGTTGTGAGGGATTTCCTGCACTATATATATATTATGGCTTGAGTGTCCACTCACTCTTGAGGCCTAAACGTAGTAAAACCACATACACAAAAGCACAAGCAAGAACAAGCTCATAGGAAACACAAAAAGAAGTCGACACTTTGCCTGTGCCGGAGCACCTTTTTCTCCAAGACATTTCATTTCTTGTGTTTCTTTAGGATGGTAACACTAATAAGAGATTGAAGAAAAGGTTTGGGTTGGATATTCTGAGTGAATCTGCAGAGCTGGCTTTAACACTTGTTCCAGGAGATTGATAAAGTAAAAAAAAAAAAAAAAAAAAAAAAGCATTGACCACCACAGAAACTTCACATTCACACTTGATGTGTTCAGCTTTTCAGATCAGTGATTTATAACCTTATTCCAAACATTGCCCAAACCAAATAGGTTAACTCTGTTTACTTTTAGTTTTTTTTTTTTTTTGTGTAATATTTATTATGCCTGCTATGTTTTATATATAAGATATTGTTTATATTGTTTGCTTCCATGATTTGTAAATTTTTTTTGTGGATGTAGTCTTAATAATTTCAACTTGCCAGGCATGAATGTGCTATGAACCAAAATCATGTGTTTCCTCTTTCAGGAATGACTTTAAAGTGTCTTACAAAATAAAAATGCTAAAATACTTTACAATCCCTCTTTTAATGGTTTAATCCATTGTAATGGAGTGATTTAAGAGGAAAGGCTGAATCTGAATGGCATCGCATTAAAACAACATGAACTGGTCACACCGCTCTCGTCTCCCATGTTTTTAACGCAGACAGACAGCAGGTGGCAAAAGAACGTGTTCAGGGAGGTGAAGAAGAATTACAGCAGAGAGGTCGTGACCATGTGTGGCAGTAATTCATTGCATCATCTTTTTTTATCTTATGTCATAACGTTAAGCCGAAACTGTGGCAGTGAGTGTAAAACAGGGCCAGTCTTCAAAGCACTGGAGGAACGAAGTACTGAGCTCTTTTTCCTAACATACCACAAGGAGTTTTTAACTGGTTATAACAGTCTGCCTCTATACGACCTACATGAGACCATCAGCAAGAACATAGGCTATTTCTACAAAGTTATTTTTAATGCCTGCCACCAGGTCAGAGCCGGTGGAAACACTACTGCTTTTGTCCACAGGGGGCGCCAGAATCAACAGAAAATTAAAGTTCCTGACAGGAGCTTTCAGTAAAAGTAGCAAAACCACACAATGAAAATACTATTTATAAATAAAAGTCCTGCATTCATCATTTAAAGAACCAGTGTGTAGGATTTAGTGCCATCTAGTGGTCAAGTTGCTGATTGCAGCCTTACACAGCTAAGCTAGACGTTTAGGAGAAACAATGGTGGCTCCGGACTTCGCAAAAAAACACGAAAGTCCTCATCTAAAGTAAGTGTTTGGTTTGTCCGTTCTGGGCTACCATAGCATGGGACCCACTTCCTTTGTAGATAAAAATGGCTCATTTTAAAAGTAACGAAAACGTAACAATTCCTGATTATACACCAATACAAACATAACTTTGAATATTATATTCCATTTACGGCCAATAGATCATCCTAAATATTACACACTGGACCTTTTAAGTAGAAATTAAAAATGTCTTTAAAATATTAAAATAATAAAATAAAAGTACTGTATAAAGTAGCTTTAAAATACAGTGCTCGAGTAAATGTACTTGGTTACTTTCCACTTTGCTGATTTTAATATATGCATATAAGTCCAGTATTGTACTCGACTAATGAAATGAACAGATACTTAAAATACCCTGTAGATTAAACATTTCTCCACCATGAACAGGTTTAACATTAAATTCCTGCCTACATGTTAATACATCAAACACAATAATCAAAAAATATGATCTATAACACTAATCCTACTGTGAATTCAATCTGCATAACAATTACTTACAAACTAGTTTGCTGATAATACTTTCATACTTTTATGAATGCAGGACTTTTACTTGTAATGGAGTATTTTTACAGAGCAATGTTGCTACTTGCACTCCATCCACCACTGCATATTTATAGTTTAGTGATGAAGAACTAGAACTAGAACTACTCAAAGAACCACGGTACCATGTACATGCACAACTGTAGATTAACATTAGATCATTTGTCATATCACACTATAATGCAAGAAGATGTATTATTCTACAGTATCTGTCAACAATAACTTACATATTCTATTATTTTACTTTATTTTTATTCATTATATGTTTATACATCACCCTCAGAGTCATAGATTTTGACCAATACATTAATAAACCCTGAATGTGTTATAAACCATGTATTAAATGTTTAAATGCAGCTTGTAAAGTTTAAACCGGTGGGTTAAAGTGAAGTGTTATCAAATCGCTCTTTCAAAGCTCTAATTGAAAAATGACTTTGGGTTACTTCGAGTTAAACGCCATTCATCTGTCCGGTCTAGTTTCTGGGAACTCAGTCAGATCACATATCTTGTCCAGCTGTCTGTCTGGTCCGACCGTCTGCTTCTGGTTCCCAGAAAGTTTAGTTGAGCTCAAATCTGACCCGCCTTGATAACAAAGTGTCCAGCACACATGCAGGGCAGAGCGGGTGCCCGATGGCCTGCAGCAACATCATGGCCAAGGTGTATTTACAGGTGATTATATCAGCTAATCGGTGGATTACAGCATGTTGAGTCCACACAAGCCTCTAAGCTGCAGAGAAAAGACAGTGCGGTCCTGTGGGATTTTCTGTTTAATCTGGTCCCAGAATGCAGCGGCCCCTCCCGCTCTCACATCTGGCCCTGTCGGGATTTACTCTTGTAATCCTTGATTTTAAAACAATTTTATTATGCTTTAACGCTGATACGCTGAACTTTAATTATTAAAATGCAGCTTTCTATTTTAGCAATGAAGTAATTACACATCCTTGTTCTATTAGCCTTCACTAAGTAAGTAATGAGGTTGTGCCACAGTCAGCTGTGGCCGCACGATGGCTGCAGGCCGGCTGCAGCTCTCACATTATTTTCAGGTATGTGATGTTATGACGAGGCAGAGCCGGCTGCTACCTGCTACCTATCTAATGCATTTCACCACTCTTTGCTCTCTCTCTCTCTCTCTCTCTCTCTCTCTCTCTCTCTCTCTCTCTATCTCTCTCTCACTCTCTCTCCCAGACAGACAACCAAAGCCCTGATCAAAGCCAAAAAGTGTCATCTTTGACACCTGACTGACATATATAAATGTTCAGTCTGTGTTCTGTGCATGAGCTCGGGTGGAAATATACACTGCATGCAGCTGGGGCAGTGGACGGGTTAACACCACCTGCTGTGGCAGATGTCAAAAACCATGCTGTAAAAAATGTCCGATTAACACAAAGGGGCACTTTGGCAAATCCTGATTATAGGAGCACTTTCATTTATTAAACTCTGCCAATCCCCTGTACTCTTTCTGAGCGGGGATTAAAACCAGGTAGACACCATTGTCTATCTAAACAATCCCTCTTTAAGCTCTAGCTGTTTCCTGGTGCTCTGGACAGGCCTGCCTGCCTGGCTGGCTGGCTGGCTGGCTGGCTGGTCGCCTGCCTGTAATCTCAGTAGGGGCTTATAGGTCACTACAACCACTACACATTCCCATTCATCAACATCATCCCCTTTAGAGGGACTAGGTGATTGGATTTAGGACATGTTTTACAGGCGCAGAAAAAAAAGAGAACAGCAAACTAAAGCGTGTTTACAAGAGCTGTGCTGTGAAAAGGCCCCATGGACGAGTGGCAGCCATATGGAATGGATAACCCTGTGAACATCTGCCCTCGATCAGTACCACGCACTGCCGTGGCTTTGACCTTCACATGGTGCACAGGAACATCTGGCCCGTTTGTGCTCTTGTGGACCCCGGAAAACAGCATTTAGCAGACAAGTAACAGCAGAGGAATCCATATGGGATTTGTAAAACCTGCAACACAGTGATGATGGAGGGTTCAGTGTTCCTACCAGGTTAAAAATGTATTGGTTATGGTCAACACCAGGGTTCTGATTAGCAGTGGTGGAAAGTACATTTACTCAAATATCACTAAAGTATTCTGAGTAAAAGCTAATATTGTAATTTTTATTCCACTAAATTTATTTGATCACTTTAGTTACTTTACAGATTCCAATTACTTAGACAAACTACAATCAACAAATAAATGATGATGTATTACTATAGGTTAGAATAATAAATGTATTTATTGATCAGCAGTATATAAAATAATTAAACATTAAAGTCACACATGAATGCATCAATGATTATAATCTAATAATATAGTACATATGATGCTTAAATGGGCCATTCTGCATACTGAGTACTTTTACTTTGGGGTACTTTACGTACATTTTGACGCTATTACTATTGTACTTCTACTTAAATAAAATTTTGACTATTGTATTGCTACTTTGTGCTTAAGTAAAATATCTTATTACTTCTTTCCACCACTACTGATAAGTGAACTAGTTTTACAAGTTCTCAGAATTCAGAATTAATCCTCCATTCTTAAGATTTGTCAAGTGATAATCACTATAGTCTGAGTGACCGGTTATGATTCGACCCCTCGAGCTTTGCTTGTACAGAAATGTCACCCCGGATACTTATGAGGTCTAAGACCTCACTGTCCCTCCACTGCCGACCTCTACTGCTGCTGCCTTCCATGTCTGTATTCAATTGTAACCATGTCAACATGTTTATCATGTTCATGTTCACATGGCTTCATTACAATAACTGTTTGAGGCCCAAAGAGGTCAAATTATCCAGTGTAAATCACAAAAAAGCACAGATTACAGAAAAGTCCAAGAAAAAAGAAACATCTCACCACCCCTCAGATTTGATATGAGTCACAAAGGCCAATTTTCTGCAGAATAAGTACTTTTACTTTTAATACTTTAGGTAATTTTAGCTGATAATATTTTTATACTTTTACTTATAATTTTTTTTTCTGAATGAATATTTTTTACATTTGCATATTGATATTTTTTACTTCTTACACCACAGGTCTGTTTGGATGCTTTGACTAAATGAATCATGCCTTCCACACAATCCCAGACAGTAGCAGCAAAGGTGATAATGTATTGCCAGCTGCTCCCTGGCATAAATTCATTCCACAAAGACGTGGCATATGCTAGAGGATCAAATTTCGTTATCCTCGTAAAAGTTGTGTTGTTTTCTAAATTGAAAGAGCATAAGGTCCCACTTTCACGCGACAATATAAACTCCTCACCTCAATAATTGTATCAGCTCTTAAGAAGCTTACTGTAATTACAATATTGTCTTCTTAGAGCAGCAGCCTAAAAAACACGAAATACAAATCACCCATTTCTAAATTAAATGGAAACCCGTTCAAAGAGGAGCCATACTAGAGGAGGACAGAGGGATTAACATTTAATATTTACAGCACAATCACACAATTAATCTGACAATGTGTTCTGTGTCTAATACCTGAACTGACTGGCCCTCCACCATTGTCAGTGGGGTGCACAGGCAGGTGGGAGTAGCAGGAGCAGGGGCTGTTTACAAGAGTGTGCAACCCATCATCCTAAGTGGAATATGTGCACTCTAACCAGAAACACTTCTGAAAGTAGTGCGGTCACTAACATTATAGATCTAAACATGCATAAGATTATAAAAAAAAAACTGAAAATGTGCCAAACCCGCCACTAAATGTTTGCAATTCAGCCAACTAGACATGACAAGAAGAACTTGAGACAAATGAGGTTTCTATCCTCCATATTGTTGTCCTCTGGTTGTTAGATATGACAGTCAAATATCAGGTGCCACAACAGTTATCATTGGTGACTTTTATCCTTAGTGATCGCAACCTACACAGAAGATTCACACCATTATTTTTTTGTCAATTAGTCTGCCTATTATTTCCTCAATTACAGGTGCAGTGTGTAACATTTAGGAGGATCTATTTGGAGAAGGTGAATATAATATTTACAGGTATGTTTTCATTTGTGTGCAACCAACTGAAAATGAGAATTGATGTGTTTTCTTCACCTTAGAATGAGACGTTTTTATCTAAAGTTTCAATCCGAATATTGGCTCTAGATAACGGGCGTTTGAGTTTATTGTGGCCACCGTAGTTTCTCCTACACACTGGGAAACGGGAGGGTGAAGCGAGGGATCTTCAACTACGCCGCTAGATGCCCCTATCTTACACACTCATCCTTTAAGTATATTTTAATGCTAATACTTTCACTTAGAGTTCATTCCTCTATTGATACATTTTGACTACAGGCCTAAGACCATAAAACAGTGCTCGCAATACCAATCATCACATTATAAAGTGAAAAGTTTACTGTTATAACAAGATGTTTTTCACACTACAACAATATATTTTCACCTTATTACGACATACAAACTTTTCACGTTTTAACAAACTTTTATTGGTATAACAACATACTTTTTATCTTGTATAATGTGAATTGTTTAATGTTATAACGTGATAATTTATACTGTTATAACAATATAAGTTATAACGTTACAACAAGAAACTTTATTATAACAAAATACTATTTATCTTGTTATAACGTGAAATGGTTCTTGTTATAACCCGATCATTTATACAATATACATGTACAATATAAAGTATGTTGTAACAAGAAACTTTTTATCATAACAATAATCTTATTATAACGTGTCATTATAACAATATAAGTGTATAAGTGTTAGATAAATAGTATATTGATATAACAATCAATGTTCATTGTAATTATAGAGGTATATATATATAACATAAAAACCATCTTATAACGATACGAAACTGTATAGAATGTGATACTGGTCCGTTTTTATCTGTCTGGCAGCAGCAGGCTTCCGTAATATCTCGACGCCGAGGTTGAAGTGAGAGAATAAGATGCTGAGGTGTCTTTAAAGGGTTAACAGGAGGAGGCGCAGCAGTGGTCAGCTCGTTCTGGGTGGAGTGAAGTTCAGACTATGTAGCCTACTATATGCAACAAATTAGCCCAGAGAGGAAGACTGCAATATGGCTGAGTGAAAAACACCAAGACAACTGAATTCAGAGAGAGAGAGAGAGAGAGAGAGAGAGAGAGAGAGAGAGAGAGAGAGAAAGGCTCCAGGTCGAAAACAAAGACGTTAAACACTGAGAGCTGAGATGAGTGATGTGAGTGAAGAGTCGCTGCTGGATTATTTCTACTCCACCGGAGGCAGCTCTGGCAGGGTCAAAAATGCAGATATACTGAAGACATTTAAGCCCTTTATTGGCCATAGTGACTTGCAGTTACGTGGTAAGTAGCGAGTCGTTGTATCACGGATGAAAAACGGATTAAAAAAAAATATATATATATATATATCCGACAGGAAATGGGGAAATGTGGAAATGTGATCGTGCAGCGTCAGTTTCTGCTCGGTGTGTGTGTGTGTGTGTGTGTGTGTGTGTGATGGCACAGATAATCAAATGCCCGCGTGTTTGCCTCATATTTTAATCTATATGATTCTTTTCTAAAACGCAACATCCCCCAAAAAAGTCTGCTTTTTTTTTCTCCTCCTGTCCTTTTTCTTTGTTCCCTGCTGTAAAAGGAGGACATCTGGTTTGCATTAAAAGCCCCTCAACATATCTGCAGGAGTTGTGTCATTTCCTCCCTCAGGCCAACTGATCAGACACAACCTGAAACCAAACCATCTCCAAAAATATGGCCCCAAATATGTCACATGAAAGGCCCCTGAGACAGAGCTGGGGGTCCCTCAGAGGGATATCATGGGTTAGTGTTTGCTGTAAAGCTGTGGCTCTCTCTGCTGTTCCTCTCCACCCACTTACTCTACAGATGCTTATGTAATCCTGGTCTGAATCATAACACCTAAAATTCCTCTAATGTTTCTTTAGACAAAATGTTCCCGGCTGTAATGTAATGGGCTCTTTTATGGGCGAGGTACACCCAGCTAATGCAGCACTGTCTATCCCACGTTAAAGCTCCACTGGGTCACTTTTAAAAGAAGATGTAACACAAATTAAAAGTTGAATTCAAAAGAAATAAAAAAAAACAGTCAGCTCAAACTATTGAACTTCCTCTAGTGGTGCACAGAGGAATCTCTTATATAAATTGATTTAAAAACTACTCCCAAAAAATACATTTAAATCAGCCTGATACGTAGTAACCTTCATGCACGTAGCACATGCATGCATCTATGATTAGTTACAAGCTAAAATGTGATGACAAGATACCAAGCGGAGGTAAAATGAATCGTTCAAAAACACTGCGATCGTGGCTCCAAAGTGAAAACTATTGGGAAAAGAAGTGCAGATCAGATCAGGACTCTTTTCCACCAAATTAGCTCCAATAAATAATATTCTCATTAGGAATAAACCTGCCTCCTGCGAGAACTGTCCGTAGGTATGACCAATAACTTATGGTGGCTAACAAGGTATTTAATTAATAAATAAAAAAAATATTTAGTTGCAGCCCTTATGTTAACTAACTTTAGATACATATTGCTGTGACATTACTGAACCAGTTTGCTGACTTTTCTTCTGTGTTACTGTCACACTACATTTTAGCAAGATAGTCAAAAAAAAAAAAAAAATCTTAGTTTTATGCTTCGTTACACAGGAATGTAAGTTAACTAACACTAGCTAACGTAATTCACCAGAAGCTGTTGGTCACACAAGACAAAGTAAGGCTGCAGGAGAGTATTAGATGAGCAATACTGGACATAAATTCAACTTTTTATTTGTAATTAGGTAATTTCAAAGTTACCTTGTCTAGTGGGACTGACTACCTAAAATAGATCCGTGTCCTATTGAATCCCTTTAGAGATAAAGCACACATCGCTGACTAATGACTAAGAATATCTACATTTTTACTGCACAATTAATTTGACCCAGAAAACAAATAATGGCCTTTACCTTTGGCACGGCCTGAAATACAAACATATTGTAACCTCCCTAAATCATTATCCAAAGTGACCTTGTGTTGCGGCGTGTACTGTCCAGATGCTATGTCAGCACTGCAGTTGTTGACAGAGGTTTAGAGAGCTGCCTTGATACTCTGCCATCTGACACGGCCGTCCAATTAGAAAAGTGCTTCCCACACATTTAAAGTCTGTCATAGCATGTGGTTGCAGATTTTCATGTCATCATTGTGATGATAGTGTTTTAATCATAATTAAGTCCACATGCACGACTGGATGTAGACCTCTAATGGGGCCATGGTGGGAAGTGAGGCGCTGTGTGTATGTGTGTTGCTTGTTTGTACAGGCTAATAAATAACTAACACATATACTATGTTACTCACTGTGGTGAGCAAGGAATTCTTTTGTTGGGACAGATGTAAGTGGCTGCTTCCTTTGGATTTCCTGTTGTTGTGAACGTGAGCGGTGCAACTATCTCACTACAGATGTTCTTTCCGCCCCGCATCAGGAAAGGGAAGCACTTCAATTGTCCCCGAGCCGTGCATTCCCATGTACACCTAGGCATGAATGGAATACCTATGCCTGGAAAAAATTCTTGCTTGTGTAGCCGGGGCTGATAACCAGAGTCAGCTCTTAATCACACAGTCTGCACGCTGAATATCTGCTCACTGGCGTAAACAAAGGCAGATAGCTTTATCTGATGAGCTCTATCAGCTCGTCAGAGGGAGTTTGTTTGGTTCCCACAGGAAAGATTTACCGTCGGTCTTAAGTGACTCAGGTTTCTGCCCCTGGGGATGCACTGGGATCTGTTTGTATATTTCCTGGAGGGGGACCTCTTTCCTTTCCATTTTTGTTGTTGTTGTTTTTTTTGGTCAACTATTTCTTTGCACTGTGAGCTTGGTGCAGCCTCGTCTTACTTCAGTTAAAGACACATAATCCAGCAGCTCATCCTGCAGACTGTAGCTCACAAACCACACACACATATTGGAAGCAGACGCTATCACGTACTAGCTGCATCTGTATTTAAAGATACTTTATCTCTTCTTATAGTAAATAAAACCTAATTCAAGCTCCTTTTATTCACGTCTATTTCTGTCACCCCCATAAAATAGCTGAGCTGAGTTTGTGCAGCTTCTTTGACATTTTTGGTGTTCTATTACTGAATGTGAGGGATTTTGAAGCTATATTTAGTTTTCAGTTTCTCACATCAACATATTTTCCCCTGCAGCTAAATACAGAGAGGAATTCAAACTCATCATTGACCGAATTGCTGTGGTGAAGTCAGAAAATGTAAGTAAACTATTAAAATATTTTTACCTTTTGTGGAAAAAGCTTTGCTCTCATGTATTCTGTGTTCATATTTCAACACAGAGTCATAAACAGACTGAACGGTTGTTGTGACAATAAAACTATCATGACTTATCCAGGAGTTGTCCAACCTGTTTGTAGATTACTGTTTGTACCCACTGGTTTTCCCCCAAATGAACTGCAGCTGCACTTTCCTTTCACTTTCATTTCCCTTGAAACTATTTTCACATATTGACAAATGTTACTGCAAGATTAATCAGTATAGGCTGGATTTATTTTCGAATTCATTTTCAATATTTTTTAATGGAATGGTTGGACATTTTTGTCATTTTTTCAGCTTGATGAGAAGGTTGACTCCACTCTTCACATCAACAGTATATAATTAGTGGACAGAGCTTCCGGGACTATAAAGTAAAGTCAACGTGGAAGTGTCTTAAATTTTGCATTCTTTGTAATGGCCAGCAGGGGGCAGCTCCATTGGCTGCAAAAAAGAAGTCAGATAGTATGGAGTCCTGTGGAGAATAGACTCTACTTCTCAGTTGATTTATCAGTAAACAGTTTCCTAATGAGTTTAGGGTCTCAGTCGCTAGTTTTAAGTCTTCCTCCATACAACATGATGTTCATTTTATAAATTATGGTCCCATTTAGAATAAAACAGAGAACAAGCAGGGTATTCTTTAGGGCGTGGCTACTTTCTCAGTGAGTCCATCCAGGACAACGCACAAAACTCAGATCAAACCGTCAAATAAGGCAGTGCTGATCAAATATGAATCAAGATTCTGTCACTACATGGCTTATTTCTCGCCTAAAATCTTTTCAGAAACATATTTTAGTGTACTGTTTATCTGTAATAGGAGAACGTGTGTGACCAGCTGAGGTGCCATTGTTTTCTGCTACCGAGTTGAAACAAAGTGCAGTCAATGGGTGCAGTTTTTTCCACAAAACAAGTTACACTTACCTAATTAAAAATTCTTAAAATCACATCTTTTTCTTCTCCATCATTACAAACCCCCCCAGAATTTATGAATATGAAAGTATTGTTCATTTTAAATGTTTAACTCCTGGAGACAAGATCAATCTTGCTTTTCTGAAATGTTCAATCTCAGCATTTGTGCACTGGAGGCTTACATTTTTCACATCAGTTGTATATTTGACCATGACTTGCTTTTAAAACAGTCGTAAAGTCACAAAATCCTGCTCGTACGAACACGTCTTAAACTCATTTATAAGGAGAGCTCAGAGAAACTCTCCTCCTTCAGCAGCAGAATGTGAAAACAGGCTGCACATACATCATTCTGCACAGTGAAGGTCAAACGTCCAAGTGAAGTAACAACAAGCAAAACACATTTTTGACTGGAAGGGGGCTTTCAAAATAAAGCATTATCCATAAATAACATTCCCATTATTTGACAGACACATAAGAAAACCACACGTTATTGTGAGAAAGACAGTATAACCCACATGACTGTGCTATTTGACTCTATTTGTGACAGGGAGAGAAGTATCTTGTCCTAAAGAAGAAATACAGGCAAATGCTGCAGGAGCGAGACACCAAACATCCCAGGGCAGAGGGGGACGGACAGAGACATTCGAGCCCGGCCAGAACTCCGGCCACCGTACAGTGGGACGCCGCGACTTCTCCTCCTCACCAGAAGGAACAACAGGATGAGCCGATGTCATGCGGAGAGCCCGACAGTGCTGCAGAGGTGAATTTAAAATCAGCTTGCTCTGTCCTATTCTACTTGTAAAAACAAATTAAACTGTGGGGCAAGCTGTGGATGATTCAGCAACAACACTGGGCGCTGAAATGCAACTTGCTGAATCCGCTATCGCCGCAGCACACCAAGTTTACCCTTTATGTGAATGACACATTTATTTCTAAACAGGGCTGTCTTTGTGAGCGTACTCTGCCTTTTCTCTCCTACCATGTGTCAGCATTTAATGACGATCGTTTGGCGAGCACATTAACACAGGAGACTACTGTTGAACAGAAAAATGCTCTTTTTACTGGGGCAAATCTAAGTTAGCCACTATGAGAAGAAAGGGAAGGTCAAAGGGCTTATGTCTTTACATAAAGGGCGGAGCTGGTTAAAACTAATGCATATCGAAGCACTTTACTGTTGTGAAAATAAACACTATGTGCTGGTTTAATGCACAATAATCCTCTGGAAGTACTTTTACATATTGTCCATGCAGTAAACCTGAGTATTTAATCATAGATTTGAAAGATTAATATACTTTATGCTGCTGGGTGAATATCCTCCCACATGATTTGTTCAAACAGGCACTGAAGCAAACATTGTTTGTCCACACCCAGATGGTAAAGGGCAGTGCAAGCAAAGACCTACTGCTGTCTGTTAACCTCAACTGGCAGTTGACACAGCGAAACGTTCGGCCTGTGAACACTCAGATCACACGTTTGGTTCAGAGACAGTTTGGGTTTTTAGCATCTTTATGTCTGTACTCCTGTAGGACCTGCAGACAGGAACAGCCTTCGTGCAGCACAGACTGCTGCAGCATCCCGTCATCCAAATCCAGGAACCATCGGCACAAAGCAACGGGGACGATGAGCTGGACAAAGATTCGGGATCAAAGGTGACAATTTGGCTAATGGAGAGGCAGTGCTGGAATACTCGCTGCACAGAGTAACGCCACTGTTGCTTTTTGCCCCCTCCCTGCATACTGTTAATTCTGTGCACCGCCAGTTTTCTAGGTCTTTTAAAGTTTAACTAAACCCCTAAATTCTGCTAGCTTCCTCCCTCACGGCATATTTACAAAATGTAGCAGAGGACAGGAGAGGAGAATCATACAGGAGGTGTGTCCTTGTGGCGATGGAGTGTGTGACGTGGGTGGTAACACCAGCCAGAGTGAAAGACTGACTACCACTCCGTCACTCAGTGTGAGAACTAGTTAGCAAGCATAGAAGTCCAAATAGAAAGCTATAAAGCAATGGATATATGGTTTAAATATTCAGCTTCTGCCTCTGTAAGTGGTAGTAATATGAATGCAGCAACATTCAGTTTTATATAATTAAGAGTGTTAAATGACATCCACTTCAAAATCCATTCAAAAGAACATATGACAACATGACATGTGGTGATGATGAATGGATACTTGAGGTTATCTGACAAACAAGCTACTGTAAAAATTGTATCACAACCAGAATTAGATTTTAGATCTAGGGTTTTAGGTTTTAAAACAGTATTTAGATCATCAGCTAGGATAGCTGTTGGACATTAATATTAAAATTAACATTTACCTTAAATATTATAAAAAAGTGAAGGAAAAAAAATTACATTGTTCTCAGACATAATACATAGACTAGCTGTTGAAGTAGCCTGACATAGTATGTTACTTTCTGAATCAACTTTATTATCACATATACATCATGCACAGTGCAACGCATAGTGACATTTGTCCTCTGCATTCAATCCATCCTGAGTTCTAGGAGCAGTGGGAAGCCACTGTACAGCACCCAACTCCAGATCTAAGCCTGTGCCTTGGTCCAAGGGGCCTACCCCAGCCAGGGAAACAGTGCAGACCACTGAGCCATCGTGCTTATCAGTGATTAAGTGATTAAAGGTTGGCCTCAGATCTCAGAGTGCAAAAATTGTTACTGAAGTCAAATACTTAATATATACCTATATAACACTGTTATTGGACCTTATTGTGTCTGGAAGTGATGAACTAGTAGTATAGCAAAAATACCAAATGTGTTTGTTTTGGTTTCTCTGTTTTAATATCTGTGCATTTGGAGTGTTGGCTGGAAAAAGAAAAACCTTGAAGACGTCACCTTGAGTTGTGGAAAATGGTGATGAGCAATTTTCAAAGACCAGACAAATCCTCCCAAAAATAACCAGCGGATTAATCAATAGTGAAAATAATAGTCACAGCTCTAAAAGCAACTAAAATTACAGGTTGTGAAAAAAATAAAGTGCTGGAAGAATAGCTGAGTTCTTGTAAAACTTTCAGTCTTACCTTCATGTCCAACGTAATTTTTCTCTGCTTGTTAATATTGGTCTGCGCCAAGACGGCAAAAAAACATGGACATGTTAGAGTTCTTAATAAGTTATATAAGCGCTCACTGGTTTAGGGCTGCAACTAACGCTTATTTTTATTATCGATTAATCTGTTGACCATTTTCTTGATGAATCGATTAATTATTTGGTCCATAAAATGTCATAAAATGTTGATTAAGGTTTTCCAAATCCCAAGGTGACGTCCTTAAATGTATTGTTTTTTCCACATATTCAGTTTATTGTCATGGAGGGCTCAAGAAACCAGAAAATATTCACATTTGAGAGGCTGAAATTAGAGAATTATGACTTTTTTTCTTTAAAAGATGTATCAAAACCATGAATTGATTATCACAGTACTTGACAATTAATCGACTAAATCTAAACTAGTTGGTTTCCGGCACCGTTTTGATTTAAATTCAAGTAGCATGTGGAGGGCTGGGTTCATTATTAGGTTTTCATCATTAATTAATGTCCTCTCATTCTGAAAGACATTTGGATGAACATTCAGTAGGGGTGTTACCCTTGGACTTTCACAAAGTTCGATACAGTACATTATCTCACAGTTAAAGTGAGAGTAATACACTGACTTCCAGGTCAGGGCTCACAGTCTGGTGGTTCTAGTGGTTACCCACCAGGTGGTGCTAAGTAAATTACCTGGATTTGTAACCTACATTATGTTGAATTTGAGTGGGAGGAGGACCCATTGGGGGAGAAGGGGGAGAATCTGCATTTAAATGGAGCTCTCTGTTATTATGTTAAGCAGCAACATGTTGGAACTCATTAGAAAGATAATAATCATTTGTGCCCATTAAAGAGATTGAGATTCATCCCAGAGAAAGATACGTGGCTGTCCTTGATGACCCGCTCAATAGACAGATGAAATATGTTGAAATGTGTTAATATAGCAACCGCAATCAGATTAAGTGTGTTTGCTTAAAGTATTAGTCACACCATTGAACTTTGTATTTAGGACACCCAGTGTTGACAGTTGTTTCACATTTACAGAAGCTACCTGGCTGGTTCTCTGTCATACTAAACTCTGTAAGCTCTGCGGTTATTCTTCCAACGCTTGATAGGAAGTGTAACTTGTTAGGTCATGCTCCTAAATTTCGGATGAATCTCTGGGGAAGATTTTGTTAAAGTTAAATGAGGATCAGGAAGAGAGCAACGTCCTTAACTGGAATCTAGAAGAACAGCTTGAATTGCAGAGATCACAATGGATTCCAAATTGAGCTCCAACCTATAGCGTCAATGTATCAGTATTAGCATATATGTTAGCCTATAAGTACAAATTAAATATTTTAATAGGAGATTTTTAAACAGAAGTTTATTTTTGGACTGAAAAATGTCTTCCTCAGTACATATCTTAGTCTTAGGTCTCTTAAAAAATACATTTTCCTGTTTATGTTGTGTTTATGTAAAAAAAAAAAAAAAGAAGAAAAAAAGATATTGCTGTTGGATTTTTAGATGGAAGAGAAAGTGAACAAAAGAAACAGACGGTAGATCATGCTGCAGGACTGGTGTGAGAAGTTTCTTTGGATGTTTAATCCTGTTACCATAGCGATCCAATGTAACTGACATGAATTCAAGCAACAGCTACAGTTCTCTGCTGAGAACAAAACTACCAGTTCATGACAGCTACCTTTCAGCCTATGCATGAATTCATTTTGGTTATTGGCTTATTGGCTACAGGGATGGTCGGTTGGTGGTCTGCCACTTTGGTCCAGAAATATCTGAGCAACTATTGGATGGAATGATAGGAACCTTTGTACAGAAATTCATGGCCCCCTAATAAGTTTGGTGATCCCTCCACCACGAGGTTGACATTCATGGTTTTCAGTGAAATTTCTTCACTACTGTTGGCACACACATTAATGTCCCCCTTGGAAGGAGGATCTGTCGGCAGAAATTGAATATAATATTCATTAGGTAGCATTAGCATTGAGTTTAAGCACAGCCATAGACTGAATAGTTAAATGATCCAACAGTTTTAACTTGGCTCGACCTAACTGTGTAAAGGATACGAGGAGAATCCCCTATGTGAAATATCATTAGTGGCCTCTTTCTCTCACCTCTTTATCTCACAGTTTCAAACGTTTCACTTAACTTGCCTTCACCTACACAGGCTCCACAATGTCTAATAAAGACAAAACAACCAGGTCAATTAATCCATAAGCCGGTTAAATGTATCAAGCAAAAATGGCCAACGTTGTATATCATTGTGCACTGAATATCTGTGGGTTTACTGTTGGTCTGACAAAAGCTTGAGCTGTGGGAAATTACGATGTGCAATTGTTCTGTATTTTTGGACAAATCAAAGACCAGACAAATAATCGAAAAATAATCAACAGAGGAATCAATAGTAAAAATAATAGTTGCAGCCCTAAAAGCCCCTAAAGTTACAATTTATGAAAAAATATAAAGCGCTGGAAGAGTATTTGAGTTCTTGTAACCTTTTTCCTTCATGCCCAACAATGTTTTTCTCCTCTTGTTATTGTTGGTCTCCACCGAAAGTGCAAAAAAAAAAAAAAAATGGACATGTGCTAGAGTGGAATAGGCTGGATAAATACAGTCCCTCCACTTTTCATGTTCAGCACAGTGACATGTGACAGTTTGTGCAAGAGACATGAAAGGGCTGAGTGTTTTAACATCATGTCTCTGTATGATCTGAGAACAATTTGCAATCAAGTCCTCCTCAAAAGAGGCAACAAAGAAAAAAAATCTCTCCCCTCTCACATAAATCAGCCAAGGTGACACTTTTATACACTGCTAGAAGAGTTTTTCTCTGGACCCCTTCAGACTGAAATGGTGAAACACATGGCCTGACTGTAGGTGTGTTGTTTTTTTTGGTTAATTGTTAATTGGATTGTTATTCATTACCCCTTATGTGTGAAACCGGCACCTCTGTCTCGCTGTCTCATTACCTCTCTATCTGTCTGACACCCTTTGGTCACGTCTTGTCAGCTGGAAAACATCACAGCAGTGAGACCGGTGTGTGAAATTGGATGTATGAGTGTCTGTGTGTGTGTGTGTGTGTGTGTGTGTGTGTGTGTACCCTGTGATACTGTGTGACTATTATGACCGATACGGTACAGTTAAATTGTGTCATGGCTGAGTAATAGTCGTCTGATTTCTGTCTTTCAGTCCGAGTCGGAGCAAGACGAGGAGTGTACGGGAAGCATGGGCTCCGCTGCTGTCGCTGTAAGTCCTTCTCATGTCTTTTACTATGTTTTTTTCTTGTGGCTTTCTTATTCACAAAAGCTTTGAGGAGTTATAAGTGAAACTTCTGAAGAGTCAAGTCTCTAGAGTTTGAGTTTCTCTTAGATTTATGACCATTAATGTTTTGATCTTTGGAAATACACATCCACTCTCCCCATGGTGCCACTGCTGTCAGTACTTATTCCCTATAAACCAATAACAGAAGTAAAAGCATGAACTATGTGCAGTGTGACCATGGGTGTCTCCCACAGTGTGTCAGTTGGCTGTGACTCAGTCGTTTGTAGGAAATGGATTAGAGGTTTGTAGCTTCAGCATTATCAAAAAAGCCTACAACAGGATGTGGACAGTAGGGTGTGTGTGTGTGTGTGTGTGTGTGTGTGTGTGTGTGTGTGTGTGTGTGTGTGTGTGTGTGTGTGTGTGTGCACATCTGAGTTCTACCTCCCCCCTCTGAAATAGCTGGATCCTATAGAGAAGGAATGGATCTACTCTGCTGCCGGTGCTCGAGTCCCTGACCTCTCTCAGCTGCTCAGACAGGACCCCTCGCTGGCAAACAAGAAGGTAGTGCCACCCTCTGCTTTGCATCTTAAAAGAGAATTCCACTTTATTTCAAATGGGACCTCTTTTTTCATATTTTTGGACTTCTATAGGGAACACTAACATCTGGGAATCTTTGGCGATATTGCCACCATAAGTCTGGGAGGGCAAGAAACACGAGCAGTCAATGATCAGGCAGTTTTAGAACACAAAGGCTCTTTAGATGGAAGAAATGATGATGAACGGTAAAATTATGACCCATTATTGTCCGCTGGTAACAGGAAGACCGTGATAGGCTGCAAGGCGAGGGTCATGTAGGGTCACAAGGCTAATTGTTGGTAGCCTTGCTAGCTGGTCAACGTGCATTTAAAAACAGGCAATCAGTAAAAACCATGTAACAAAACTGTCCTTAACAAATTCTGTAAAACTCTATACATGTTGCATTTATTTGCTCTTTCATCTCATTCAGTTTTTACAAAAAAATGTACTATTGAGTTGTGTTAAAGCCTCAAGTTGTGCCCTCTTCAAACAGGAGTGTATGACTAAAAACCTAATTTTTAATCATCAATTCCTGCTGAAGTGTATCCATTGCAACTATTTTCAAATAAAAACCTCATAAAACACAGCTGAAAAACCTACAGCATGTGGTGTATTAGATAACTTTGGAAAAACAGCTTGCACTGCCAATAGTTGTCAGTCAGCAGTAAACTAGCAGATCTACTCACTAGCGGCCATGCTAGCTCGGCTACCCCCCTGTCCATCACGTGACCCTTGCCTTGCAGGTTGTAACGGCCCCTCGAGAGTCACAGTTCACAGCTGACCGCTTGGCTGAACTTTAACCGTTCCTACTGTCCGTAGTGCCCTCAGGTTTCCTTTAGATTTTAACTGACTGACTTCAGCCAGATAAACTGACTTAGAAAATCTGGCTTGTTTACAAGCTAAGAGCATTTCTACTGCAGGGCCAAGGGACAAAGAACCTTTTGAGCAATCCAGGAACTGCGTTTCAACTAAAAGAATCGGGGACTAAATTTAGTTCCTCCGCTATAGCTTCAAGCGCCAAAAAAGTCCCTGCTCCGGGGATGGTACTTTCCAGTAGTTCAGGAACTATCAGGGTTGAGTTGGCGCTGCTGATCGCTGCAGATTGGTCGACTTTTACAAATCCCCGATGTTTATTAACAAATAAAAATAAAGTTACGTTGTTGGCTTGCTGGCTAGTTTACAAAAAGAGAATGTGAACAATCTGAGAGGGAATGAACGAGAGAGAGAGAGAGAGAGAGAGGGAGGAGCTCTGAACAACATGATGTCAGTCGGTTTGTGTTTCTTCGTGTGAGGAAAAACACGTTTGTTCATGTTTTTTTCATGTCTTTAGCCTAATTTGCCAAATCTTCACACAAACAGGAAAGTAAAGAAATGACTTTTTCCAGTTCCCAATTTAGTTCTAAAGTTAATTTCCTTCGGTTCCATAGTTTCTTGCCCTGTTGGTTTTTCATTAACAGCAATGTGGCTCTGTTCCCAGAGCTCAGCGACCACTTTGGTTGGTGCAACGTGAATGAAAATTGATCAGAATTAATAATCACAGCCACGTAAATATGACCCAAGTTGTAATAAACTGGAATTCTCCTTTAATGTCACATGAAAACAAAGTGAACAAAAGTCTCTCAGATGACTGTTTCATGTGGTTGGGAACATTTGGGTTTCACTTATATGTGTCTGTGTGTTTTGTATCTTCTTTTGGGGCGTCAAACCAGGACTTCACCTCGGTGAGTATTTGATGTGGCACTTATAAATAGCTACAGACTGTATGTAACATATTGTGTTTTAGGTGAAGTTATTATCAACACATGATATCACATGACTTTTGTCTGACTTAATGTCTCTTATTTTCTCATTTCGACACAATGTGGCTCCCGACTGTGACCATGACCATTCCTTCTCAGGGGGTAAGTTTAATCATTCGTCCTTCTGTCTGCACCTTGTGTGTAATAACTCTGAACGCCCGCTGTAGCCTGTTGGAATGGAAGTTCATTTACAGCGTCCATTAAAAACAGACCATATTTCAGCTCCGTGTTTCTTTATCTTTCATCTGCGATACAAACCTCCTCCCTCTCAGACCTGCGTTTTGCTTGTATAACTTTCACAAGCTTTTTCTGCTGAGATTTTCCCCTAATAGTATTCTGAGAACCCTGTGTTAAAACATCCAGATCATGCATTTCAAAGGTCCACTATCAAAAGGATTATGAAAGATAGCTTTTTAGCTCCTGTGGCCCCCTGACAACCCAAATCCTTTTATTTGTCTCCCTGTGCGCTTAAGAGATTTGAGCTCATGTTTGTTGTCCCTCCCCTGTGTCACAGTTCTCACACTGTCCTGTGGCCATGGCAGACCACCTTCTAAGAGTAGCCCTAAGCCTCTGCCATCCCCACCCGGACAAGATAGCATGGCCGCCATTGAAGTGTAGGGAGATGTGTGGGGGAGATTAAGGAGAGTCTTAATGCCCCACAAAGACTTCACCCACTTAAAGATAATCTGAAAGTAATAGAGCAGGCTGGGATTAATTGTAGAACAATGCTGTTGTGTCCCTGGGAAGGTGCTAAGTCCCCCTCGGGCCTCTTTGATGTTCCCTTTAGCCCTCAGCCTTTCCCTGTTCGGGAGAGGTGGATGCCTTTGCAGAGATAACGTACAGAGATACCCAGAATAACAAAAGTTGCAAGACTCATGAGAACCAGTCTTTAAAAGCAGGAGTTATTATATCTGATCTGCATTTGTCACGTCCTGCTCTACAGAAGTTAAGTGTACCGAATACCAGGCTCTAGATCACATGTTTGACCAGGACTGAAGGGATTACTCTTCATCCTGGGAGGACTTAAGTGTTTCCTGTTCTGACCAAATGTTTGTTGGGATCAGGTGATTTTATAGGTATGCACTTCAAACAGGGATTTAAACGTGATGTTTGACACTACACGGGTCAGAACACCCAGATCTCACCTGAGCCAAACTCCTCTCACTCCAGACTCTCATTCTCTCTTTCTCCTTCCTGCTCTGCTCGTGACGTGGGCCTCTGTTCCTGCTGTGACGGACTTCCTCTGCCACGCAGTTTGTAAGTACATCATTAGCCCATCACTCCTCTCTGTCTTCCTCCCCATCAAGTGTCAGGCACACTGGCCATTGTGTCTCCTGTTAATGTGAGCCCTCTTTAGCCACCACTTCCCTCACTGGGGAGCGCGTGGCGGGGACACAGCCGTCCCTGAGTGATTGGACAGGTGTGTGTGTGTGTGGGGTTGGGGCCACCCCAGTGGGCAGGAACAGAAATGAGAGGCGCAGGAAGGGAAGACGCTGCATCCTGTTCAACCTCGTCCATCACCCATGCCCACCGGGAGAGCCGCCGAGCCGTCTGTCAAACAGCCCTTTGGCCAATCTGTCTTATGATGTGACAGGGGACAGACAAAAGAGATGGAGATACTTGAGCCAGACAACATCTATCACAATCTGTCTCTCAGACGCCCGGCACACAGAGGTGTAGCCTCCTATCGCTCCCTCAATCCCTTCAGTGGGTACAAGCGGACATTTTTCTCATTCCAGTAGTTGGACAGGCTCGTTGTGCCACGATTAGCACAATTAGCGTCATAGCCTTTAAACACAAAAGGACTTGTGTCCTGCTCAAGCAGCGTGCCGGCCTCAGTTTGTGCCTCTCATGTGTTATCATCACATTCGAGTCACAGAGCTAAACATCCGTTTCTCTGAAGAATAAATGCTGTGCAGCTGTTTTATTTTATTTAAAAAGGTATTTCCAGAATCCTCAAAGACTTTTCTAACAAAGTGGATGAAAAGGTCGAGTTGCGACTGTATTTTTGTATTTTCTAGGTAACTGGAAATGACAGATGCTCTCACACAAGAAAAATATGAACACATATGAAAATAACCGTTTCTGCTATTAAAGCTATGATTGTTTTTAACCACATTTCATACTGCGTAGGTGGCAGTGCTGGAGATTCAAACGTCAACAGACTTAGTTTGAGGAAGGCGTGATTCTGTTTACAAATGTTACCAAAGACGTCAAATGTTATGGATATTAACTTAATAACCGTCATAATGAAACAAGCTTTTTCATGATGGTTGAACATGATGCATGACTGGTTTTGACAAACAGGTCTGCCCGCCTGGCTCATGTGACCAAATATACTGTTATAATGTGTACTGTTGCTCAACAACTTTTCAGGAGCTAACAAAAGTAGTTTTCATCTAGTCTTTCAGGCACGGAAGGGAACAGAAAATAACTAAAATTGAGGTTCTAAGCTTTTCATCCATCCACAGTTAATAGGTCATTCTGAAATGGTTACTGTTTGATTTACTGTGTTAAGGGTCAGACTCAGAAGGGGTGGATGTGGTTACTTAGCCAACATCTGCACCTACGCTCTGCTTTCACCTGTTGATAGCCCATAATTACGCAGCTTAAAGTGTGTAAGAAAAACTGTGGAGATCACAGTTCTGGTCCGACAGGTGGATGTGGTTTGCATGCGACTTGTGTTTTCAGCGTGTACACACACGTTTGAGTATCTCTGCATGTGGACATTTGGGTGTATCTCTAAAGAGTCTTGTCGCGGGGGCCCATGTTTCCCTCCTTGACGTGTGCTGACAGTAGTGCGGTGATGTCTGGGTGGGTCTCCACTCTGCAGGTCACACTAACATCATCAATCTTCCCCCTGGTGACAGGCGGCCAGGCCCCCCAACTGTGGGCACAGTGCTGTGTTGTTTTGTAATTAGGCTCTGTTAGATGGCAGGAAACCATCTCTCCATTCCTCCTTCTCACCATCCCTCCATCCATCCACTCCCCTCTGTGCGCAGCTGGCCCTCTGCCCTCACACAGCCAATGAGAAGCTGCCCTGCTCAGCTTAGACAACTTGTAATGATGCTACGGCAATTATCCTGCCTGACAATAAATACAGAACAGTGTAGAAGAAGGATTTTATGAATAACTCTTCTTTTCTTATTGCACACAGACCGCTCTGCACTGGGCTGCTAAGCATGGCAGCGAGGACATGGCCACTCTGGTGGTTAATGCCGGTGCTGATGTCAACACCAAATCAGTGAGTGCAATTTTTATTTTTTCATATTTAAATACTAAATAATTTTAAAGGAGCACTCAGCAATTTAGTATTGCACATGGACTATTTGAATTGTATTGTGGGTACACATTTACTACAACTGAAGGACTTTAATTGTGACCAAAAAGTACATTTTAATAAAAAACAATTCCGAGAGCTTGGTGATCTCACTTTCTCACACTATTTTTATTTTTTGACAATGACTTTAAAGGGGCACTTAAGCTAATTAATGCTGCATATAAGGAAATAGTCAGAAATCAAGCAGCAGATATCTTGACTTTTAGTCCTTAATGTGAGTCAAGCACAAAAGGTTTTGGATTCTACATTTCCCATAATGCAACTCAGTAGCATCTTTCACATAGAGCTCTGATGTCCTGTTCTACGATCTTGTGGAACTCAATAAGGATTTCATTCATTTCTTTCATTCATTCATTCATTAAAAAGTGAAAAGAACAATTTCCTCTAGGAGATTAATGATATATATATGTACCTATAATAAGTATATATTCTTCATCAGTTGCTCTCTGAGACCAATTGGCTCCACAACAGCAGCAGCACCTTTGTGATTTTAACAAAGTTAAACAACGATTACTTATAAGACTGCAAAAAGTCCCATGAAAATGTACAAGCACAGCAGCAAGGGTACATCATAGTATAGGGTATGTCATAGTTACTCGGCTTCTTCCATTTCTACAAAAAACTCTCCTCTAACGCTCCCAACAGTTTAGCTGTAATCTCTGCGTTTGATTCTCTTTGACCTGCTGACACGTGCGAGCTAACCACGACGCCTTGACTTGCTCTCGGACTCGGCTCTTTTGTTGAGATGTGACGTTTAAACTGCAATAGCCTTGAGACATTAGACATTGCCTGTCTGATAAATTCCCTTATCTTACACACTCTCAGCCCCAAGACTTAATATCACATATCTGAAATATCAAATCTAACTCAAGCTATCCGTGATGACATCCCCGTGGTTGTTTTTTCACAGAGTGAGAACTGTTGTACTCTCCGTGAATGTCTAACTGTGCTGCAGTTTGGTTTGCTGTGCACAATCACTGATTTCTCCATGGTATTATTCTGTCTTGCAGCATGTGAGTATCCAGGTCTTTATCAGGAAGTGACGGGTATGTAGTGACAACAACAACATGGCTGCTGGTTTCTTTTTCTGTGCCCCTCGGTGATGTAATGTTCCTAAATGATTTGTATGGAACTCCAGCTGTGCAAATGTATTGCAGCAGCACGTGTTGTTGAGCTGCGGGAGTACTCCGCTAATAAATCATGTCATGTCATGTTAATTGTTTCCCAAAACAGTGCCAGCATGCACAACTCTGAAACTATGCAATTTTCAGCGAATTACCAAGCAATTATGTTTTTATCATTATCTTGTGTTTCCATAACCTTTCCTAATTTGTATTTTTTTTTTCATGCTGTTTTCATTGGCTGCGTTTGGGCCTGGGAAACTCTAGGGGGTAGGTACTAAACCCTTCCAGCTCTCTGCCGCAGTTATTCTCCTGAAATGAACACAAAGTAAAAATGTCAATTTTAAACTGGCGCAGCTTTCGGTGTGTCGATGGTGTGTTTGCATGCCAGGTTGCATCACCACTGACTCCAAAAAGAGGATAATTCTCAACTTAAGAATACACGTTTTTGATTTTCTTTATGCATGTTTTCCTTTTGTTTTACTCTTGTTTTTGTTCCACAGGGATATACACCTTTACACATTGCAGCGTTACATGGTCATCGGCATATTCTAGACCTTCTCATAGGGACATATGGTAACAATTGCTTTTATTTAACCTGTTTGTTGCAGGGATAGCTTGATTTAATGTAAAATACTTGATTTCAAAGTGCAATCAGTGTCAATCAGTTTAAGAGTGACAGCAGGTTCCAATCTTACATGGGTAGTTATGTTTATCTTTGGATCATGGCTTGTTTCTTAAAGCTTTAGGTGTAAGGTATCAGTGAAGTAGCTTACCTGCTGCCCCCCATGGCTAGTCTCAGTTTTCACAGATTTATTTTTTTCTGTTATCAGGGGCTAAAGAAAACTTAAGGGACTACAGCGGCCATCTTGCATGCCATTATCTGAACATCAAAGATCCAGAGGGTCCAGAGGAAGACTGCGAGCTGCGTGAGTGTCTCATACTGGTGCTGCTGAATTTCAGATTATTTCATTTAATCAAAATGTTTTTATGCATTTGTTTTAATTTACTACTTAAGTGGTTTCTTGTTGTTCCTATTATTCTGTTGGATCTGTCTCTGTTTGGCCATTCCCTGAAATTATTTTATTTTGTTTAGCACTGAAGCACTTTATATATCTCTGGTTTTACTATAGAAATAAAGTTTTCTGCCTGAAGTACATGTGACTGACATTGAAATTAGATAAAAGTTAGATAAGAAGATCATTAACACTGTACGGCAAATGGGAAGCTACAAGCCAGCAGCCAGTTAGCTTAGCTTAGCATAAAGACTGGAAGCAGGTGGCCTGGCTCTGTCCAAAGGTAACAAAATTTGTTTGTTAGCACCTTTAAAACTCACAAATTAACATGTTGTATCTCCTGGAAAAGTGTAAAAACAACAATTTGCAGTTTAATGTGCCAAACTACTGCACCCAGGCAGTCTTTATGCTAAACTAACTATTAACTAACTTATATGCGAGTGGTATAAATTCTAACTCCTGGTATGAAAGCAAATAAGTGTATTTCAGCACAATATCAAACTATCCAAATTGTTTTTTTGTTGTGTCTGAAAGTTTTATCTCGGACACTATCCTTTACTCTAGGCGTGCACTTTGGAAAAAACATCCTCGCATTTCAGTTCTGAAAACCTTAAAAAACGAATATCTCAAAACTACTCTGATAGAATCGTGATTTTCCCAAATCAGTACATTTTTGTTTCTTGTGATTCCAGCGTTTCAAGTCAGTCAGGCCAGAGAGCGGAACAGGAACAGAAAGTTGGTGTCGTTGTTTCACTCCAAGAAGAAGTGGGGCTCAGCAGAGGAGCTGGCTCCGATAGAGGAGGAGAGGACGGCGACACATCAGCTCGTCGTTCCAGCATTTAGACCCAGAAAATTCTCCCGCTGAGTAAAAACGACACACCAGGGGCGATTTCTGTTAGCTCTCCTGCACTCACACACACCCTAATCCTTAGATTCATATATATCGACACATATTATGTAAACCTACATGTATATACAAAGAAAGTGTTATATTTATTATGTACAGCACATGTTGACACTTCACGCCATTCAAACCTTTGCTTACTGACGCACCTAAACTCATGCTTTAACATAGATGATGTTGTAGATGATGCCATGCTTATACGTGTATTATTAATATAAATGCTCACCATGAAAGTATTACTTGAAGCCTTTAAATTTTAATGAATGTCGCCAATTAGAGCCTGACCGATATATATCGATACTGACCTATTGTGGAGATGTCGGTATTAGCGTATATGATATCCGATATGCGCAGACATGAAAACTGTTTTTTTCCAGCATATAATGCAGAAGACAATGCTTGCATTAATATTTTGGCACTGTGATTTACAGTAGCGCGGCAAGCAGCAGTGTAAGAGAGAAGAAGCAGCTCTCAGCAATGTCAACTAGAATTGGTTGACAATGTGTATGTTAAATTATTTAACATGTTAAAGAAAAGTTATTTGTTGAAGAAAACAGCCTCCTGAGTACCTTTGTAAAGTCATAGTCTCATAGAATAGGTCTTTTGTCGGCTCAAACATTCACTATATCGGCCGCCATATTGGCAATCAGGGAATCTTTCCCTTCTAAAATCGGTATCGGTCGGGCTCCAGTGCTAACTGTTACATATGCCTTACAATTTTAAATGAGCCGTGCCACATAGTCTTCATTTGTGTTACACTGAGTTTTACTCTGTAAAAGTGTCCAGATGATGTAATTCTTTCTCAGTGAGAAGTTAAGGATAAGGCTGGAGATATTTTTGTTACTGTCAACAAATCCAATGAAAAACTGCAAAAGAAACACAATGTGTCAATCTATTTGTTGATAACTTGCTGACTTTCCTATCCTGTCTGTGGCTCCCAGCCCCTCCCAGTAAAGCCTTCACAGCTGGTCACAAATACATACTTTCACTTTAAAAAAAAAAAAAAAAAGCTACTTAAACAGCTAGGCATTGTAGTTTTTAGCAAACATTACTCAAACAAGAGTAAATAGTGCATTTGTTGTTTGGGGATGTGGTGCTCTATTGAGTATTTCTGCCCAGTTTCACCCAGTGAAACAGTGTGGCTCATTTATGTGTGTGTTGCGGCAAAGAGAACATTTATCAGGCTTTAGACACACACACACACACACACACACACACACACACACACACACACACAAAGTTTTCTTAGAATTTGTTGACAACAAGAAGAAGACTGAAAATAACCAGACTGGTGGTCTGAAATCATCTGTAGTTAACACTAGGCTGAAACACAAGCTGTTACCTTTTACAAAGCCATTGATTTGGATTCATGTCACTGTGGCATTATAATCAATTTGCAGAGACACTACAGCTGATCAATTCACTTTTTAAGAAGCAAGACCCCTCCACAGCATTTTTAATGTTTTATTTGGGCACCCTCCCCCCAATATCTTCAAATAATATAAAAGTATTGGTTCAATTCCATTAATAACTAACAAAGCTAAGAATTAAGAATTTAAGATGGTGTTCACTAATCTTTACATTTTAAGGACTTAGTTAGGATTTAGTGGCATCTAGCAGATCGCAACTCCCTCGCTGCACCCTCCCCTTCCAAGGGCGATGGAGAAACTATGGTGGCCGTGAAATGCATGAAAGTTTCAAAATGGCCTAAATGTTACATAATATGTTGATGCAATAATAATTTTCAGTATTTTTGGATTTGATCCTCTTTTTTTATGTTTACAATTATTGTGCAACGGGAAATTGAAAATAAATACAAATCTATGGTGAGGAAAAATCTAAAGATTTCCCCAAAAAGTCAGATATAAGCAATTAGAAAAAAAATACATAACCCTTCCCCTTTTCTGACTGGCCTCGCTCCTTAATAATTTTCCTACAGTCCTCAATGGGGAAGAAAATCTTATATATTTTTAAGTTTAAATCTGAGTTTATTTAGTTTTTTCCTGGGTTGTGAATCTCTCCTTTTTGCAGCTTTGTTACTGGATTTAACTTCCTTCGAAACTCTAATGTCAAAGTGGTGATTGTGCTTTAATTCCCTGTTCCACCCCCCCGTGTATTAAAGTGCTGCGTTAACTTTTGCAAAGGGTATTTGCACTATTACATCATGAATCAGTGTCTTTCGTTTAAAGGGCTTTTTTGTTGCTTTAGGCATAATTGTCATGTGTTTGAAAAGCGGATCATGGTAACTATTTGTTTAGAATGTAAAAGCTACAGTTAGGTTTTTTTTCCAGTTAATCGTATAATCTAAACTAAAAAACTTGCCTCTGTTACATCTTTTGCACAATATTTATATAATGAAGATATTTTGGTATTAAATGGTATTTTATATCAAACTGTATACCTGCATTTTTTTTGCACCTTCATTGTTCGCTTTGAACAGAGTAGTATGTCATTGTGTTTCTACGTCACTGGTACACAGGAATAATCTACATCAAACTCCAATCTGTGTGTGTGAGCAGCCAGTCACTCAGTCCAGTCTCTCCCTATGAAGCAGAGGAGAAGAACAACTTGTGATAGTGCTTTTTTTCCCTCCTTTCTCTCAATACAATAACCCTGGTTTTTAAAGCTGCCTTTGATCTTACTTTAACTACCTGACTTTGTGGGCTACAGATGGAGTAAATATGGGTCCTGCTAACTCTCCATACGGCTTTAGACCTTAATTCCTGATTAGCTGAAAAGGGCAGCACTTGCTTTTGGGTCTTGGATATCAGACAACACAGAGGGGAACAGAGGCAAGTGTTTTTGTGCTTCATTTTTGAAGCGAGGATGTTGGGGGGATAAGAGGGAGTTTCTGTAATAGATACTTATCTTACTGCCCTCAAGCCCCTCAAACAAAGTCCCCCTCTGAAGAGATTATAACCCAGGGAGGGCACATTAACTCTAATCCGATGCTTTGAGGCCTCGCACCCCCCTACCACCCTCTGCCCCACTTATTTCAACCCTTCTGTTGTTGGGGGGCTACCTTGTATCTAGTGCATGTATGAGTAGGGCCTGTGGCTACACACGAGGGTTGTGAGTGTGTGTGTGCATGTATGTGTGTGTTTGTGTGTGAGTCAGGGGGGTGGAGTGACTGTTTCAATAGCACGCTGACTCTAATGAAAAGCATTGAGGGGTGCATACTGCTGTGTAACTGATTCCTCTCTCTGAAGAGATTAGGCGCTACATTGTTGGTTCAGTTGCTCATTTCCATGAGAGCACAGCCTCCCACCAGCGGCTGCTTGGCTTTGTTATTTTGAGTTGGAAAACACAGAGCCCAATGTCCCTGGCTTCCTTGTTACCATTGTTTCACAAATAGGCCAAAATGTAGATGTCACGTCACAGATGCCCAATAACCTCATTAGCTGCTCACTGTGAGGCTATAGAGAGAAAATGATAAATGCATGAACTTCAGTTTGGTCAACTGTATGAAGAGTGTGCGTAAAATTTTGTTAACGCTACTCGTAAAGCCTTTTGTTTCCCTGGAATAATAACAATGTTAACGAGGTAGAGAATTTTAGATAGATAGGAATAACTAGGAATGTAACGATATACTGCGAGACAGCATGTGAGGATTCAAATCAATGAAGGAAAAACTAATCAATCGAGGTTATGAAGCCGCAATGACTTCAGTTTCACTTCACAAAAGGAAATATACATTGTTTGGCACAGTTTACACTCTACACCAGAAATAAAGAAGGATTCAAATCATAATTTGTCTGTCTAACTGTATCAAATTGAGTGTCGAGTGTATTGAGTGAAATAACCCTCACAGTAACGTCTTAGGCAAAGAGAAACGGCATCTCTGTGCAACTGAGGAGGAAAACCTGTGTGCAGTGCCATGATAATGCAATTCATAGCAATCATAAACAGTTTTTAAGCAGATAAATGGTTTATGAAACACTATACTGTAGCTGTAAGCAGATATAACTCCTCCTGTGGGCACCAATAAGTGGAGGCTGGTGTATGAACAGAGATCATAGGAGCAGTTACTGTCCTTAAAGCTGCATACAACTACTTTATAGTGTGTAAACCATTTATTAATTGTTTGCATACTGCTTAGAATTGCTTAATAGGGGGACTTGAAGTGTTATCAGTAAAGAAATGAACTGTATTAAGAAGATAAATGCAAAGATTCAGACTCAGAAATAACCCATATGGCTTCACCTTGGGAAGGAAAAATGGCATCCTGCCTTTTTCATGCTCTACATACGTGCAGGGGAACTATGTAGAAACAGGGTGCAGCGAATTAACAAGCTGATCTGCAACAACGAGCACACCGGGGAGGCCGCTCTGACCGGGCTCCAGCTAACTGGGCCAGGGCTCTAGCTGAGGGATCCTGGGGGCCCAGCACCCACCTACCGGGGCCTGACACAGGGAGACACCAGCAGCAGCACCAGCTGTCACACTGGCCATCACGGCCCAACCAACGCCGCCTGTCACTCACCCAGCGGAGGGCCGTCAATCAGCCTGCACCCAGGAGGGAGCTGGGAGGCGGGCCACTGCCCGGCCCTAAACAAAGACATACTTACATTTGCAAGCGGTTTCAGCGCCACTACCATTTTGAAAGAATGATAGAGTGGTCCTGATAAGAGTAATGACAAAGGACAAAGAGTGGAAGGGGGTCTGGGGAGAGGGGGTCAGATAGTAAAGAGGTGGGAGAGCTTGATAACATTCACACTTTGCTTACATCTCTCCATTTGTGTTGGTGCCCCAGGAAAATCTCATTAGGAAGGAAAATTGCAGTTCTGGTTGAAGACCATGATATATTTTTTGCCAGTTGAGCTTTTCACTTTATAAAATCATCTTAAATTTTAGCTTTAAATGTTTCTTTGTTGGGATTTTGATTTGTGGATATATTTAAATGTTCTGTCGAAATACCCTAAACACTTTTAAAATAGACAATTTTCATCTTTTCCTTCAGCTTTTTGAATGTCTTTGCAGATTTTCACATAATATCCTTAAAATAAAATAACAATTCCCCCCTCCTCTGGCTCAATTTCGAAGAATCAACTTTCTCTCCTTTCATATCTGGTGCAGTAAAAAATAAACTAACAAGCAATAGGTGTTGAAGACTGCGGATTCCCTTTAGGCTTTTGTTGTCTTGTTCACACCTACCTATGAGCTATTCTAATTACATGTTTAGTCCCTTTGTTGGCTCGCAGGTAGGGGATTGCCTGTAATTGAGGTCACACCTAAACCTTTTGTCCTGACCTGCTCATTAGTCATCACTGTCATTCTGCATTTTTACCCAAAAACCAGGCCCTTACTTGACTTAACTTAATTGTCTGTGTCTGTGAGTTATAATGTGGAATATGCAGAGGACTTGCAGATAAAGCAGATAGCAGACATACGGCACTGTTCCAATACAGAGGAATGACTCAGGTGTTATCAGAGATAAAGATAATTTCATCCTCTTTGCTATCTTGTACTGTATCTCTTTCAGTGCTGAGGACAATCGTCTTCCATTTGGCCACTTCTCTCTCCTGTAAACGACTGACATCCTAACGGCAAACAGCACAAACTCGACCTGTCAGCGCAAGACCAACACCTGCATTGTGGTGGAGCTGCCAAAAGAGGAAGAGAATGAAAAGACGATCTACAAGAGGGACAAAGGCTGCGGCCCTGAGCTGTTTGTGTTGTGAGATGTAGACTACTGATGCCATAAGCCTCCTTCTCTTTGCACTCTGCTCGGTCCATTGTTGCTCTTGTTCAAATTTGCTTTAGGTTCTGTGGACCCCGCCCAAATAAATTCCTTCTTTCCCTCCACCTTCACCACTTCTTCAGTATCTCTCTCTCTGCACATTTGGGTCCACGATTGTACATTAGTCTACACTCAATGATATGTCATAATATGAGAAACACCTCTTCGGATAACCAGTAACAGGGCTAAAGTGGGAGAAAGAACACAGGAGAGGTCAGCTGATTGTTTTCATTATTAATTAACCTGCAAATTATTTGTTTGATAAATACATTTTTCGGTTGAAAAATGTGAAAAAATGCAACTTTGCAGAGCTCCAAATGACGTCTTCAAATGTCTTGTTTTGTCCAACAAACAGAAGCAGCAACCTGATAATGTTGCTTCTTTCTTTCTTTCTTTCTTTCTTTCTCGGAAACAATGCTAGAAACAATTACTCCATTCAAAATAGTTTCTGTCAATCAACTTATCAATTAATCGACTAATGGTTTCAGTTCTGGTCAGCAGCATTTCCTCCAGAATCAATCATCCCTCACAGAGTGCAATTGAAATACACAATAGCATTCACACCACAACAGAAATCACAACACGTTCATTTAGGAGAAACGTTTTTTTTCCAAAACACCTAAAGGAGAACAAGTCCCCTGCCACATTTTTCATTTCAACAGCTTCAGCACAATCCCCTCAGAGGCTGAAGTGGTTTTGTTTGAGGAGAGAACAGAAATCTGCAAATGAGAGGAAACAACACTGTTCATTAAGAGGGATCAGTATTGTAACAGTATCAGCAGCAAAATGTAATTAAAGACTTAAAATTAAAAGTACTTATTAGCCTGTGCAGCAGAATGACTTCGATACGATGTATTACATTATTGGATTATCGTCACTAATGCGTAAGATCAGATCAGATAAGAGAGAGTTTATTGTCATCCATCTGTATACAGTGCAGCACAGAGAGGAATCAAATAGCGGTTTTACTGGTCCTGGTGCAAACAACAAGATACAAAACCCAGGTACAAGACAGGGTGTAGACGTGTAGTGCAATACGCAGGACAACAACACAAACGTTATACAAATAGAAAAATATAAGTGAACATGTTTAAATATGTTCGGACTTTGTTGCAACAGGTTGAGGTTGAGCACATTTGAACTACTTTTTTTTTTTTAAATCTCTGATATTTTATACAGATGTTCAGCTTTAAAGTAACTAGTTACAATAGCTGTTGAGTAAATGTTGTCAAATAAAGCACATGTATCCTAACATTGTACCACTGCTCATTAACTTTTTCTTATGTTTCTCTTTTTTCACTCTTTTTTTCTGTAAACATTAAAAGTGAGATCAATGATTTCTCCAGAGAGTTCCTTTCAGTAAATGACTACTTGCAGATATTGCATTCACAGATTTATCTTTATAGTTTTTCTTCTGTCTCATTCAGTGCTCTACGGCTCACACACAGACACATTAAAGTACATTAAAGTGCATTAATGCTAACTTGCGTCTTTGTATTTCAAACAATACAACACAACAGAGGTCAACAGCACCACAACGAACAGTCCTTAAAATGACAATGACGTCAAGTCAACTCCTCCCTAAAACAGTTTACATTATAACTTCCATTAAGGTTGAATTCATCGCAGGACTTTTGTATTAGCTTCCACTGGTTTCA